TTTAACGCCGCTGCTCGTTATTGGCCTGATTATTTAACATTTGAGATTAATGGGCCACCAATTACCATCACCACCATACCTCCAATTACCTGAGGCCGTCATATTTGTGTAAGCCACATCCCTTAGTCGGCTACTACGACACTCAAGGTCGATGTGTGATGATGACATAGCTCAGAGGATTAAGAACCGATAACCGATGGGGAAGAATGGTTTTCGAGGGGCAGCCTCGTATTGGCCATCGTCGAGCAGAACATGCCTACTAGGTGGAGATGCGAGCTGTGCAAATGTGCGGGAAGTCGATGCTTGCAGATGCTTAAGGAACGTGCTTCGCGGTAATCTCTGGGATAGGCCATGTTCAGCAGTGGACTCGAACAGGCTGAAGTCATGACGAAGATGATGACGAACTGGTAATTGATTATTAGTTACATTTGTTCCCTTTTAGATATAAAGGTATACATTTTATATCTACGTTAGCAATTTATACGAAAATACCATTATCGAAGTAAGAATGTTGTGGTAATAAGAACTAATTATAATAAGAAATCAAAGTTGAGTAGTACCTAGTTAGGTTGTATTAGTTAAATATGAAATAATTATTGGTAAATGAGTGGAATATGTGGTAGCGTTTAGGGCCCGAGTGTTCATTTTCCTTATAAGTAAGGGGTGTCTAGACCAGGGTTGCCAACTGTTTTTGAGTAAAATAACGTATCATAATTTACAAGTAAAAAGAAATGAAGGTATTTAGAAGAAAAAAAGTTTTTTATACATTTTATATATTTATTTCTTCTCTTAAAGACTTATTTTTGTGTGCTTCTAGCACACTGACAGTTTTTCATTGTCCTTAAAAAGAGTATTTAATGATAATGAAAACTTGTCCAGAAATAGAGCATTTTCACACACTTTATTTTTAAGCAAAAGTAAAAAGTATGTTTGCCAAAAATAAAGTAGGATACGTTATTATAAAGTACGGTTGGCAACCCCTAGTCTAGACAGACAAAATTTTTAATTCGAACATTTAGACATCACGACGTGCGTCGACTGTCCGAACCAATAACTTTTAGCTACTAAAAAGATAGTTACACTCGAGCGCGTAAACGACTCGCTGATTAGCAAAACGCGATTCGCTTGCAGCCGGCGCGGCGTCGGAAAATCGGGCGGGAAATAATCGAGAGATGGGTATCGAACCGTTGCGGAAATTGTGCGATTTGACGCCATTTTAAAAGGTGTCGGGGCGCCGCCGGCCCGGGCGGGGGCTCCTTATGGCGGCGCGACGAACACGTACGGCCCGCCGTGCATCTTGTTCGTTGCGGAGGAAATTGTGTGAAGCACTGCTCCTATTACCGATATCTTTATAAACGCCTGAACCGTGGTAGCGCAGTGTTCCGGGCGCTCGCTTTTAATTCAACACACCCGAACAACCCGAGTTCAATAATTGCAACCAACGTAATTGTTAATTACAATTTTAAGTGCTGACTTATCGCTCGCCGGTGAAGGAAAATATCTGAGGGAGCCTGCAAATTTTCGAAATATTCCGCAGTGGAGTCGCGTGATAGGCTATTCCCCCAATACCCTCCGTACTAAGAAGGCCTTTGCCCAGCATTGGGACAGTTATAGGCTGTGACTTTACTTTTATAAATAACTCACAAACCTTATGAACCCTTCAACACAACCTTTAAAATCAAAGTTCTTTCCTCTTCGCTTATTACGCAGCCGGAAAACTATTAACCCGTTTGAAATGAAACCGGCTTAGGGCTTACCATTTCGTCTATTCCCCGTTGCAAATTAGCATCGATTAGCTAATTAGACTTTAACTATCGTTTGACGAATGCCAATTAGTTGCAAACATTCACGGTGGGCGAACAAAAGAAAAATGTCGTACAGTTGTACGAAGCTTACGAGTAGGTTCGCGATTTTACGAATTTAGCAAATTTCAAGTGAATCGTGTTAAGGTTCAATATTTTATTGTATTAATAATACTAGAGTAGCATTGATAATACTGGAGTAGTATTATCAATGCAACAAATAGTATTATCAGCGTGGTTGTCAGTAAGACTTATAAGTGGGATATTACTGGTAGTCACTTCTACCACTTACAGTAACATTTTAAGTGCTGTATAAGAACTAGCCACTTCGTGTTTAAAAAAACGTACACAAAGCGATAATGTAACTTCAATGGCTGTATTATGATACGAACGGATCTTCAACGCAGCCTAATGCATTCGGAATACTGATATTCCCAGAAAAAACATCGTCCCGGAATATCAATGTTACTCTGACGTCGAATTTTACTGGCTACTTTTATCAATGTTACTCTTTCGTCGGATTTTACTGGGTAGTTTTTTTTTTATTTGTAAGCTTCTCACATTAGAACCACGCGGATAACCACTTTCTGGTATCATTGCACGGGGTTTGTACACGGTGTACTGTGTCCGTAGAATACTTCATGGCCACTATGGCTGAAAACGATGAAAAATGACACTATGCATTTCTTAAGTACAGGTGGTACAAACGTACACAAGGGTACAAACGAGCGGTTCGAATTTCCCTGAAGACGCGTTGAGACTTAGATGTTGTTGCATTAGATGACTCAGTGGGGCAGTTGTCAAGGTTTCGACGCTGGCGGTCGTTGGTTCGATTCCCACACGAGACAACTGTTTGTGTGACTCACAGATGGTTTTTACAAATATTGCTCTTACTTTAGGATAACATTATCCTATGTTGAAAGGACGTTTACAAACAAAAGTATCACGCGGACGAATACCTACATCTGTGGGTCACACAAATATTTGTCCCGTGTGGGAATCAAACCCGACGCCGAAGCCAACCAATACCTTGGCAACTACGCTACGGAGTCATCAAATAATTGCTTCGGTTGTTGTCTTTCTAGCTCGGAGCGGTCGCTGGGACTTAATACCCAACTGCCCAGGGCCTTCCACACAAATCATTCAAGCGTACGTCGCGTTACCCGCTGTTGTAAAAGAGTCGCGAAAACGTATTCCGCCCGTCGAGTGTACGGAATGCGAGGGAAACAAAAGTGGAACGTGCTCTGGATTCTGCCGTGTCCACTGCGATGCGTATTTTAACCCAAGCGCTTCGGTTATCCACCCCCGCTGCAGCGGTCTGAACGTCGAGTGCTCCCGCATTTAAAAGTGCCGTTAAAATCTCGGACCCTCTCGGGTCTCCGGCGCGATGCTCTTTTTTTGGCGACGCGGCGTGGCTCAGGCGTCAAAAGGGTAGCGGGACTGCACCGCCTATCTTTATAATTATCCACGCGTTGACATCGACAAGTCGTAGAGTGACCGCGCCTATATGCGACCGTACTTTGTTATTTGCAATTTCATTCCTTGCACGGTAAATTCAACGATCATTGTTAGGTACCCTGAGACATTATAGAAGCACCAATGAAATTGTAGCCCATTTTGTTCCATACTAAACAACTTAAGCTAATAGTAATTGAAGGAATTAAATTGTTTAATAAAGTTAAAGTAGGCGTCAACCGACCCGTTTAACATACACACACACATACATTTTTACACAACATTCTGTAGTCCCAAACTAAGCAACAAAACACAATAAACATACTTAAAGATATTTTTTATTTTTAAATAAATATATTTTATAAACACATAAACACCCAGACACCGGAAAAAAACCATGCTCCTCACACAATATTATTCCAGTAGTGGGGGATTCAACCCATAATGAAAAGAAAATAGACCGTTATTTTAATTCTCGTCAACCGCCGACACCTTCGAGGAGCGTTTGTTCACCGCTGTAGCAAATCAGTAGGTATTAATAGTTGGGGTTCGTTGCACGGGCTAAAGTGTGTTTATCGGGCGGAAAACTAGGAGTCGGGCGCGCGAGCAATCGCAAGTAATTCCCGTTGTTCGCAGCGCCCGCGAGAGGGCGGGCTGCGCTACGGCAGGGCTGCCCGTCCCCTATATGCTACGAAGGTGTAAAGGGCTAATCCTGTTGCTACGAAGACATAAAGCATCCTTGTAGCAAGACACGTGTAGAAGATAATAATAAATAAATATTTTAGGACACATTTGTAACGCTTGTTTTATGGTTACTAGATAGTTATTAAACATGGTTTATTTTGTAAATGAATACATATTATACATATATAGACACTCAGACACTAGAAAAACACTATGTTCGTCGAACAATATTTTTCCAGTAGTGGGGATCGAACCCACACCCTCTAGTGCAGGAGGCAGGTGGTTCGTCGATAAAGTTTGCTATTGAATGCGATTAATAAGATTACGCAATATGTATCAAACATAAAACTGATCAAGAATTGAAACTGTGGTTCATAGGGTAGATATTTTAAGAGCGATTACAATATCTTTATTGTACAGAAATCATAAGATTGACAAGGAAGCATGACCAATGATAAAGCATTCCCTTATAAACTACTTCTTTCAGATGTAGTTAAGCGAGTTCGTGAAATGAAACAACCAGATTTCCGCGGAACTTCATAATTGGATGTCAAGCTTTGAAAAACACCTTAATTTGAACTCGGTTAAAGAAAACCACATCTAGATTAGAAATCAAGGCGACAGTGTCAGCACTAGTGTATTTTTTGCAGAAGTATCTGACATCCGATTTTATTGGATCAAACATTTATTTGAATTCGTATATGAACAATGTGCGGTGAGCTATTTGAATTCAAATTACAAATACGTGTAGTATTATATCAAATTTGATCGTACGATAATAATGACACATAGGTACATTTGAAACGTAGTTCTATTAATGCAAATTTATGACCACCCCGAGCGACGAGTGGCAGCCCTGCGGAATATAGCCTAGCCGGGTATCGCATACTTGATGCTATCATAATGATTATTAACATGTGAAGGCCCGTGCCTGGCACCACCGCCCGCGCTAGATATGTTTGACATAAGTCAGTTATTTTAATACAGGCAATTAGAGGTTCCTACTGGATAGGTCCCGCCATCGCCAAGTTTTCGATTAACAGTCTGCGGTTGTCTTTAAGTGGATTTTAAATTGCTCGCCGGATCGATTGCGCCGACCCGCGTCGTTGGTTTGCTGCTCGAATATCGGCCTTGTGCCCACGGAAACGTGAGGGCCGTGCGCCGAGAGTTGCGTGTCAGCATTTCGTGGGGCACGACCGACGCCTCGACTCCGAAACGCAACGGCTCTGCGCTGGCCCGATTGCACATTAACACCGTTGCCGTTGTTATCGCGGAAACGCTGGGCGATTCTGGGTCACAGCGGCCAAAATTCAAACTGCCATGTCTGTGGCTGCACAATATACGTATGTTAATATGAGGAAAAATTTGAAAGGGTAATATTCACCTCGAGAAATACAGCAAAGACGGCCATGCATTTTTATCGGCACGGCATAGAACAGAATACGATTTTTGAAGGTTTACTTTTGGTGCGTTTGTAAAGCGTTGCCAAAAAGCGACATGACATGACATGACATGTTGCAAAGCGACCAACTTCGACTGACTTCACGGTATTACGATTGCAACCAATAACAACTTTTTGACATTTACCTATAACTCCAAGTTATTTAATTAAATGATAATCAATTGCATTCAATGTCTTTTTACAAACAAAGAGTACCGGCACTGGGGATAAAAATTTTAGGTATCGTCCTTCTGTTACGCTAAAGAAGTATGAAGTAGCTTCTTTACATGCGTACACCGTTTTTTTTAATCAATGACCTCCTAGAAAATGAATGATACACGTGGCTCGTTAAATTGAAAATGTTTCAGTACATGGGCAGCTCAAAGTAATGTTGAGCAACGGAATATACGCGCGCCATCAGTCGTTTAATTTCTTCCGAGCTAGCGGTCTAAAACGAGGCGATATATTAATCTGTTGGGCCCAATGAGCCGGTACAAATCAGTTGAAAGCAAGCCCGTGATCCGGCGCGCCAGTGTGTGTACGTTTCTGTTGGAGCAAAGCGTAGGCGCGCAGGGCGTTTATTCAATTATGAATATAACGCTAGACGCCCAGCAGTCTTGTCTTCACGGCTTTACATTCGTCAGGTGATAAGGGGTGTTAAAACTAAGGCTACGAGGGATATTTTCTTATATTTTGTTAGCGTTAAAATATGTTTTATACAGCTGCCGACTATGATTCTGTTGCCATAACTATACTTTACTTATTAATGAAATATATATTTTTAGTCCCAATTACTTCAACATGTCCGTTAAAATGGTACTTAAATAATGTAAATCGGTTTTTGACTGTAATTTTAGATCATAAGATGTACGTACGATGTAACAAAGAGCTTTGGTTTTTGTGTTAAATAAAAAAAGAAGGTACAGAAAATAAAATAGTAAGAACGAATTACAAAAATGTCCTCCTGATTTTCTCACTAATCGAATTGCGTTTGAAATTTTATTCGAATATATATATGTCTACCACCAGGGAATATAGCGATCAACGGCACCGCGGGCGCTGGTGTAAAGCGTCACTTAAGAGCGGAAGACGATACATTAGCGACATATTAACGCGCTGGTTCCGAGATGAGGTATCATCTTTGTCTTATAAATGAAACTAATTTTACGGATTTATCGCGTTCATTTTTAACGCGGTTTCGAACCCTTTACAGCGTTCATGGTCACGGGACAGACTGAGGTGTTAGACGTCTGATTGTCATAGTTAACCCGGGCAGTTTTTGTATTATTAATTTTGTGTCCGATCTATGCAGAGGGAGCCTTCCTTAGAATGATTCAGTGGGAAGAATAGATTCGTTTCGTATACTAAACAAACTGCTCCTCAATCGATGTTGTGTAAAAAAACTATGACGATAAGTTGATCAGCTTTGCGAACATAAACACAATTCATTACAATTTAAAATTTCGCTGAAGCGACCATTTATGTTCCGTATTGTATTACAAATTTTAACCAAAATATTTCCGAAATACGAAATACAAAAAATTTTAATTGTATCCGTTTGAAATTTGAGCTTGATTTTAGTATTTGTACTCGCTCCCGTGTAACATGGATCGATTAACGTTCATAATTTAATTTTAGTGATGTTTCCATTTCAAAATTTTAACGAGTTGTATTATTTACGGTGGTATTGTATTGCGAATTTTAAACAAAATATTTCCGAATATGAAATACACAAATTATGAACTGTAACCGTTTTGGAGTTTGTGGTCGATTCAAGTATTTGTACTCGTTCACGTGTAATATGATTTGATTAACGTTTATGATTTAATTTTAGAGATGTTTTGATTTCGGCATTTTAACGAGTTGTATTATTTACGGAAGGAAAATCTTAGATACATACTTCGAAAACTTACGGGCTAGATATCAGGAAGAATTGAGAAGATTTACAAAATATAATTTTCTGACGATCAAAATTAAATTTTGTTTTTTACTTTCACTACAAACGTTTTGTTTTCAAATAACGGTATTCAATTACCTGTAGCGATATTTTATGTAACTGTGCGTTATAAATATGCTTATCGCGAGAACAACAGAGTTCGAAAATAATCGAGTGAAAGTAAACGTCATCGATTGTCACAATAAGAGAATAAGACTGAGAAACGATAGCATGGGTGCGTTTATAATCGAACTCGGGGTTTGTGTGCGAGTGCACCCTTAGAAACATGCCTCTAGAGAAGACACTACACTACTAGTAGCATACACTGCGAGTGTTCTTGCTCCAGCAACGGCGTCTACACATGACGTTTACGCGCCGGCAAAACGCTAACCGACCTCGCTGATGTTAATATTCATATAGAAAATATTAGGCGGGCGGCGGGCGGAGGGCGGGGGGGTGCGAGAGGGCGCGAGGGGGGGGGGGGGGGGGGGGACAGGCGGCGATCGGCAGCCCCCAACGCCGGCGGCCACTCCAACACGCTCAGTTCGCCTTTAATGAACTTTATGTCACCATCCCGAATAAGAGAACACTTCTTTGACGGCTTTGTTGCTATCGCGTATTAGTTCGAACAAAGCCCGTGTGTGAAGTCACTTGGAAAGGGTGGACGCGAGCTGGCACTTTTGCCTGTACTTATTGTTATCGCTTTTTGCACAGTCAAACTGTCCGGTGGTGGCGGTGGTGGTGGGGAGAGGGGGGTTGGCTGTTCGATGCACGTACGATGCGCCGCCGGGTTGAATCTCCAAGGAGTTGATGTACGCACCTTTTACGGTAACATCTGATTTGACATTTGATCCCCTTTGGAACACCACTACTTAAGTAATGAACATACATACTTGATTATCGCGGCTACATCTTGATTGCTATGATTAAGTTATCCTTTACATATTAAATGTACTCACGGCTGTTATTCAGATGTGCGGACCTATCGTTTATTTAAATTATACATTAAGGTTGTGTGGTGCTAACCTCTGCACTTAAGATGAAACGTTAAAATTTTTAGAAAAACAGATGTCGCGCGAATCAAACCCGTGTCGTCCGCAATCACGCCCAGACGCCTGGACCACTAAGCTAAACGGCTGATTGCCACACCGACGAAAAGTATAGATACACCAAACTTATGCTTAAAATGCTAAAAAGCAATGTACCCCTACAACAATACGTATACTACGTTACGAGTGTCATTAAAATTATGTACTACATACATAATGATATTAATAACAACATCCACCGACTTGACCCATTTTAGTCTAAAAGTTTTCTTACAATGTGTACTCAGGTATTCGTTATGAAATACAATATTGCTGGTTTTATTTTAACGGCGGCGTCTCACCTTGAAGTGGCCACTAAAGGAACATTGCGAATGCTTTCCAAGTATCGCGTTAGAAAATCTTCCAAGACTTGTGACTTTTTCACCGGATAAAGTTATTTGCGAAACGACGAAATTACTTTCGCGATCATTTTTAAAACGTCTGTAGGGAAAGTTTCATATAAAATCTAGCAGCATAATATGGAAAGGAAAAAATTTTACTGTGTAATCTTGGGGTCAAACCATTTTCTTATCCCCAAATGCGTTAACTTTACATTTCTAAGTATTAGAAAATTATACACTTCTTTTTCACTCCGGTCTTCTGTGAGGTCTACTGGGGTCTTCGGAAGGAGCTGCCCGTTCGAGCAGCAGTCGGAGCTATTGCGTCGCCCTACCAAAGTTGATAGAAATATCCCGGAGACTTCTAAATTTTAAAAACAATGCAAGTTTCTTTAACTGTGTATCGTGTTTGTGTTTTTTCTGAACGCCAAAATATATGCACCAATCGAACGCATGTATCAGGCAAGCCTCATACATGAATACATGTATTTACCATCGCGCCACGGCGGAGATAAACTGATATTCGGGTATCATGTCTGTGTTACCTAAACCTACTTACAGTACCCACTGCAGCAGCCGAAATTCTATAATTGAAATTCGCCCGTAGTAGATTTGGGGCGTATGGCAAATGCGATTACTGCCTCCTACCGCTCGCCCAATAATTCTCGCAGCCCTTAATTCTACACGCGGCCGTCGAGGACTGGACGGAGCGATATTCCGTCAGAAGCAGATCAAAGTGTTCCGATCGGAACACGTCGGGCCTTGGCAGATCTGTAATCGGATCGCGTCGCTTATACGAAACCCACTGTGGCGGACGTACACATATACAAAAGACTGATTTTAGTGTTTATAAATTTTCGAGAACCTTTTTCTATCACAGGAAAGATATGCTAAATGACATTGGTGACATGATGAAATGAAATTTCCATTTTGAAGATTTGGAATAGCGAAGGAAGTTAATGTTTTATAAACATTTTATATATTATTGAAGTGTTCCAGAGAAAACTGTGATTTCAATAACGTTAAGTTCTGTTCAATTATAATTCGAATATGCCTCGGAAAATATTTTGGTACCGGTTTGTAAAATCGATTACATACACCTGAAATCATTTCGATAGCAGGAGCTTTATTGAGTATTTAGTAGTGTTTAGTATTACCGTGAGCCACATGAGCTTCCAAAACACAATTAGTTATTAATCCGCGGTGCCGTAAAGCAGCTTAGGAATATCGATAGTTTGTGTGATAGCGGTACCCTTGCCGGGTCGAATATATTTATGTCGCGAACGAATTAATTACACGACACAACGGGAGCCGGTCAGTAATACTACCTATTCTATAGTGTATCGCAGCTCACGGCAAACCGAATCAAGACGATCAATTCGCAATTCGAAACGTGTTTATCCCGTTAAGGGCTTGGCGAACGGGACTCGGCTAGGCTTTGAGCTGGAAGCCGGCTGCAGCTGAAAGCCGAATTAAGGTGTTAAGGTACGGTGGCGAGTTCGGGCTCGATTGTTTGCAACCAGTGGGAGGAATGTATTGCTTAGACGCTTAGACATCTCCGCCAATACAATGTATACACTAGTTAGCCAGACATTCTAGCACGATTGTCACCGAATGGTAAAATAATAATGTGCAAATAATGCATACTGCATTAAAAGACAGAAGGAGACATTTTACCAATATTAGTAGAAGAGTAATGGTAAAATTATTTTTTAGTTCGCTATCTTTCATTTAAACAATAACGATAGATTGGATTATCATACATCCAGTAGTTTTTATTCGAAATTTTTTCAGGAAGACAATTATTAAATTTAATTTGTCTGTTGTTGGCTTGGTGATGAATAATTATGGAACTTATGCGTTTCGACATAAACACTTTTGAAATATATGAAAATAGAATACGATATAATAAAATTATTGATATAGAAAAATGAAATGAAAACCAGGAACAAGAAAAACTCAATAACAAAGTGTACTGTTATTATATTCAAAATGCTTTGTTTTATTTTAATTTTATAACCTCTGTTACCGAACTGTCATTAAAATTTTATATCATCAAATGATTCTTGTGTCTTCATATTTGTTTAATGGAAACCACAACGTAGCACAAAGAGATAGTTTGGCGAAAGGACAAAAATTATCAACGTTGTATGTCAAAAAGAAAATCATATTATAAAATATGTATAAGAAAAAGAAACGAAACAAATTTCTATTTCGAGAGGGAGATTTGAATTTGAAAATTCAATGCAAAGATTAATTCAAACTACATATGTCGGACTTGCCCAAATTTCAACGTAAATACTTTTCAAACAGATTAAAACTTTAAAAGGAAATAAGAAGACCTAAACGTCGAAATAAATCCGAATACTACTGCAACTTGTATCTCGATTCGTCCACGGACCGAAGGAATCCAGGTTTTTTCCATCATCTAACGGCAAACAGGGATCGATACTCCACTGACGAATTAACAAATTTGCCTTCACGAACTTGTGTGGTGCACTGCTCTCGTGGGCGTGGGGGTGGAGGGTGCGGGGGCGAGGCGGCGGGGGCGCCGGAGTACGAGAGCCGTTAGATCGATTGCTATCGTTGATATTATTCTGTGGTAATTAGAATCAGCGTAGCACTGCGACTTGTTATAGCGTTGGCTTCGTGGGCGCATCGCTGACTCCGTCGGAACACGCAGTGTATGTATACATGTCGCTCGCTAGCCGTGATATATTATATATTATAAAGTCTATGGCAGTGTTCGACTTATCATTATTTTTACTCTAAAATTGCCACTTACATCGTCCGATTCAATATGTGTGAAACGTTGAAAATTTCTTGCGTTTATAGTACTCGTAAAGTTTATCGTTATGTTAAGTTGTTTAGCTAGTTTCTATTAAAATGACGCCTCAGGTCAGCTTTGTGTGTAGCATCGTTTAATAAATATTATTATATGGTTCAGTTAGCTTTGGCGCAGTTTTAATATCATTGATGCGGAGATCTGTTGATTAATTTATCAGTTAACTCAGCCGCCTCGCACGTTGCATTGGGGCGAATACTCTATGCGCTCGACACATAGCGTTTCGCCCCTCAGTCCACTATGTTACACTGGGTCAATGTGTCGCGCTCAATGCGGGTCTCCGTATCAACAGGGATGGCTTTCGATGGGATTGAGTGTTGCTAGATGGCGCAAAGACGCAGGGTGAGCCGGTATTCTTGTTACTATCTATCTATGATATTGTTATCTACACAAAAAGATGATGATGAAATCGTTTTAGTTGGGTAACATATAATAAAAAACAAGCTTAACATTCGCAGACTGAAGATTATTAAAGTGAGTTTCTTTTATGGCGCGATATTCGGTGGATCCATGTACTGTATTTAAAAGCGGGTTATTAAGTGAAAATAAACAAAATGTGAAATTGCCAATGTTTTCGGGTTGTCTAGAGCTCCTTAAACTCTCTTGTGCGTAGGTAAATACACCACTTCATGGTGTATTCCATATTGGAATTATTTAAAATTTGCTAAGTCATGAGTGTCCGGGCGCTCGCCTTTAATCAGGTTGCTCGAGTACATTGTACTCGAGCAACCTGAGTTCGATCCCCGGTGCCGGCACCAATAAAGTTTTTAACTTTAAGTGCTGACTTATCACGTGCTCTGCGGTGAAGGAAAACATCGTGAGGAAACCTGCATATTTTCGAAATAATAACAAAAAAAATATTTCGAAGATATGTGAAGTCCGCCAATCCGCAGTGGGGCCGCGTGGTGGACTATGCCCTGATACGCTCTATATAGAGGAGGCGTTTGCCCAGCAGTGGGACATGTATAGACTGTTACTTTACTTTACTTTACTTGCTAAGTCTTCATAATAAATTTATTGTTTATGTTTTCATCATAAGTTGAGGAATGTTAAGGTCAAAAGTTGATAATCATGCAGTTAGTCTTCAGAGCTCTCTCGCGAGAGTACTCAAAGAAATTCCATCATTGTTTTTATGGACCTTTCGGCCGCGGATCCCTAATTGAACATTACGAAAACAATTGCAAAACCCTGCCTGGACGTTTGAACTGCTTTTACTAGCAATGATTAGTTTGCGGCAATAAGTTGTTTGATTGCGCAAGTACATTGCCGTAATGCCTTCATGCGTAAAATTGTTATTATTAGTGGGCGATCGCGATGTTAGAAACATGATAGGCTATTCATCAACCCACTTTTAATGCCAAACGTAGGAAACAGGCTTTTATAAAGTGATATTGTTAATAAAATCGACAAAAAGGTAACCATAGACTTTATGCACTGTGTTTATGTAACTCAAACAATCATTCGAGAGGATTGAAATAAGAGTTCGACGTCAAAACGCATCTAGTGAGACTCTAGTTTTCTTTACATCTGCGTCGCAGGGGATCAATCAGTTAACAAGTGGAAATTCCGCCCGCTACAATCGCCCGATCGTCGCTACAATATTTCTCTTTCAACGCTTTATTGCATTTCTATAATCGCGTGTTAATTGCTGTACCTGTGCTAACAATAGGTAATGCCTTAATGAGTCGGGGTGGGCGCGAAATAAAAAAGACACACAGGAACCCAATTGTATTCGCTTAAATGTGTTATTACCAAATATTTTTTTTTTAAATTGTTTGAAGCTCAGTGATTCGAGATTTGTTTATTGAACGGTCGTGTGCGGCCTTTTTAATGATTTCGTTGGGTGTCGTGAACTTTTAAATATATTTTTGGGGAAGTTAAGCGATGTGAAGGGAGGCATTATTACGTAACAAATAAAGGTAAACGAAGCGAGCAGCTCTACTGAGCGGCGAGGTTGTCCTTTGCGGCATTACCGGGCTGTACAAAGAGCCTGTGCAGCGTAGCACCACCTAACGGAATCAACAATCCGGCGGACTCTTTCGGCAGTGCCACTTTTGCCACAAAGCGTGCGGCCTTATGACGGGCCAAATCCCCGGGAAGACATTTTCCGTCGCAACGGCAACGGGCTTTGTGCAATCGCAATCAGCCGCCGGCGGCCGGCAATTATTCAGTGCGCATCGGGCGACGTTAGATAGGTGTGCGGGCGCTGCGTTTTGCATTGGGAATCAGGTGGACTTTATGCCGGGAGGCCGTGGCGTGGCCCGCGTTATCGCACGCGTCACAGCGGACTTTGGGACGGTGCCCGGGCAGTCTCCAGTGGGCCTTTTGCTGGCCCGCTATAACCGTGGCTTGTGAGAGCCGCGTAACGGACCCCCTAAAGAAAATATCGATCGGTATGCGTAATTGCGACGTCTCGCCGCGAATAGGCACGGCGCCAATAAAGCACTTACAATGCGCGCGGGTTGTCTAACCGCAAATTGTAGGTGCCTCAAGGACCATGTTGTGTGGCAATAGCTGTCACGTCGAAAAATGCTAGGCCGATGACTGCCCATTTTAGTGGTGAAATTAGCGATAGCTGGCACTGTCCGCCCTCGCATTCAGCGAGCCGCGATGCGACTTTAGGCCTGCGTAGCCCGCATTAGTATTCCCTCTGCGAAGCCCGTAGCCACGCCGTACATTATTTGTATACACTAAGCATGAAATGTTGCCAAGCAAACGTGTACTATTTGCGAGGAGGTTTAGAAAGTGGGCGCGTGGGGCGGGGGGGAACAGCCGGTGGGGTGCAGGGCCCGGCGGCCCACCCCCCCTGCAGCCACCCTCGCCCCATGCGTGAACGGATGAGAAACCCTCACCCACTTTGAGGTTTCAATATTCCATGCCGAAATGCATTCAATTGCATTATTTTAGAAAAATGAAAGAGGAACTCGACGGCGCTCTGTCGCCGGGCGATGCACCGCCGCAAAAAATCCCGTCCCGCGCCCCCTGGCCGGCCACGCGCTTCCCTTTGTGATCGTCCAATTTTCCGCGCAGTGAGTGGAGCTCTTCTTGCGCCGCACCTGGGCCACCTCAAACGCTGTGAGGGAATTTAATAAATTGGGCCGATCAAACGTACAAAACGGACGACGTATCCGTGCGGCCATCTCCTCTCGCCGCTCTGCACTGACCGCTTCCTGGGTGGCCTACATCATCTGCTCCATTATATTATACCGGTGCATTTAAATTTTATACTGTTATACAATTAAATTAAGAACAACCGACAAGTTGCAATTTCAAGTAAAATCATGCCAAGTCATGTTTGATCGCGACATTACCAGCAGTAAATATCGGGTGCAATGTATTATACAAATGAACCTTTCTATTGAATCACTCTATCTAGTAAAAAAAAACCGCATCAAGATCCGTTGTGTAGTTTTAAACATCTAAGCATACAGACAGACAGCGGGACGACTTTGTTTTATACTATGTTGTTTTTTTCTGTACATTTCAAGTGACATTTTACCTCCACTGACACTTAAACTTATGTTAGGATATTAAAGTTCAAGTTGACTTCTAAGTATTATTACATTATATTATATCTTATCCTTTAAACGAGCAATTCTTGTATATATATATATATATATATATAATCGGAATCTCGGAAACGGCTCCAGCGATTTTCATGAAATTTAGTATGTGCGTAGATTCGGGGGCAAAAAATGGATCTAGCTAGGTTTCATTTTTAGAAAATGCCCTTTTATCCCTGTTTTCAGGGAATGAAAAATATAATTCGAATATGACGGTAAACTTCGCCGCCGCAAGAGAAAATGTCATAATAGCTCGGTCGGATAATCGGGCGGCCCCAAAAACAGACGGCCGTGGTTCGCGTCACGATCATTTACACATTTATTTTTTTACTTTTTTTCGATTCCAGATCATTGCTTTCTTTATTTTTAATTTTTTTGTCGATTTGTTATTTTGTTATGTTTTTCCCTTTTTTTTAAAGTTCTTTCTTTTGTGAAAAACATCTGTTCATATTTTCTTATTATTACGTCGGTAAGATCGAAAAATATTATGCATATTTCATTACTCAATAATTTGTATCTAAATGTAATTTCCAAAATACACAATTTACCAAAAAAAAAAAGAAACCGAGCAAAGCTCGGTCCTCCGGGTACTTATTTATTATTATAGAAAAGTGTTGTTTCAGGCAATTTTAAAATTTTTTTCTTTCATAAGAACTTTCTCCTGATAATAACAAACACAACAAAAAAAGTGAAATCGGTCCAGCCGTTCACGCGTGATGGCGTGACCAAGGGAATAAATAGGGATTCATTTATATATATATATATATAATTGACTTTGAGCCGCATACGTTGTTTTACGTTCCAAATTATTAATTTATCTTTTAACAAAAAAGTTACAGACAGCGTTTCGCTAATTCCGACTGACACGGATGCAGAAAAACCCAGCCATTAGTAACGGGCCGTGCCTCTTTTATCTCCGAAATCGTGTAGATTAATTATGTTCATATCTTAAGAAGATTACATTTATTGTAATTTTAATCATGATATTAAAATGTGCCATGTAATATTCTTGCCGACAGTAATGTATCAAATATTTTTTTTATAATCGCTCTGTAACGTATAAGTAAAATATGAAAGAATACGTGAATGGACGAATCTGGAATATCGTTACGAGTTGGAATAAAATTTAGTCCAATTGTTAAATGATAGATCTACATTTAATATATTGGACTAAATGTAAAGTGTTATGTGTGATGTAATAAATGGGACACGGTAGTTTTATGTGCGTTTATTAAATAATACTGTAAAGTGCAATATGTGCTTAAATAATTTTAAAATGTAAGTTGTACGTGCGGCGTGCTTATTACCACTTTAACAGGTGAACGGGACAATTACATCGGACCAATACAACTTCGAAAACGACAAGCAAATAGAGCGTGCGCCGGCCGCACGTTGACTACGCGACGCATGCGGGCTCGTACCGTGAGCTGCGCCCGAACTAACGCTGCCGTCGGCTGATCGCACAATGGGCGAAGCAACGAACTAGGCTGTAAATAGGCACGCCGCCCAGTCGTTTGGCCCGATAATTGCCACCGACAAATAGCGGGCATTGCGCGGTCTTTTGACGCAAACTGCTCCAGTTGAGTGTCGAACGTTTTCCCATCACCTCGATGGCAGGTGTTTACATTTCACTACAGGTACAATATTGCCGCAGTGTGCGAGAAATGTGACCTTTCGGTTCGCTTTCTGAGGAAGTTCGTCTATCTATGAAACTGCAGAGATGAGGACCGCGTGATATGTAGTATATATATATATATATAGATGCAAACGATTTGTGTAGCAAAGGCAAAAGTATAAAATAATTGGAGAATATCCATTCACCTGGTATGACTCAAATCACACGCACAGCCTATTCGTGTGATTTGTGCTTCAATTTATATACGCGTGGCGCGTTATTTTTCTAGTCCGTGGAGTAAGTATTATAATTATTGTTTGATTAAAATTGGAACTGTCCGCAACAATGTATATTATTTATCTCTCTATTAACTAAGCTCCTAATGACAGTGACTGGTAAGTTTGAGACAGAAATAATTTAGGCTTTAGGATCGGAGGAACTTGAAAGCCAAGGCACAGATACTGATATTAGAGGATTTGTTTTTGTAACGAGTTGCACTCGTGTTGCGATATAGTTGCGACACTCGTTTCGTCATGTATAAATAATAGTATAGTGCCCGCACATTGATAGATATTACTAGAGCAATCGGATTTCAAATTCCCATGCTCAGACCAATGTTATGTCAATTTGTAATTTAAAGTGCTGACTTATCAATAAAAAACTTATGACCTCTTCAGTAAACTGGAACGTCGTGAGGAAACAAACCTACACATTTTTGAAATAATAAAAACAAAAAAATCATAATAGTAGCAGTTAAGTAATAGTTGAAAAAATGTCAATAATCTGGCATGCAGACATGAGCAAGGGAATATTAAGTATATAATAATATATAATAATAAATTGAATATATGTATATATATATATATATATATATATATATATATATATATATATATGTATATATATGTGTGTGTGTGTGTGTGTGTGTGTGTGTGTGTATCTATTTCATATATTTCAGTTAAAAAAAAGTTGGACATCTGAGATATTATTTTTTGCTATCAATTTGATTTAAATTTAACAAGTTGAATAGACTGGAAAATCCCATTCAAGTTAAATGTAATTAAAATTTTACAATGGGAAAGGCCCAGTATTGTTGAATATCTAATTAATGGAACGCGTCTACAACAAAACTTAAGTTAGTCTTAATAAATATTTTATGAGGATTAAATTATAATTGAACGAGGCGGTTGTTTATATAATTGAACTTAATAATTAATTAAAAATTAATGCGGAAGAACAGATAGTAAGAATCGCAATATTTGAATATTGTATATTGGCCATATGGGCGACATAAATAAATAAGTTGTCCCGTAAACACGACTGAAATCTGAAAACAACTTATAAATAAAGAAAATTAAAAAAATGTGGACCGAATAGTGAAAATCTACACAATTCTTAACTCGAATTGAAGATACACACAAAATTTTATTAAAATCGGTCCAGCCGTTTAGGAAGAGTACAGTGACAGAAGAATTATATATACAGAGAAGATTAAACAAAACAACGTCTACCTAAAGATTATTGGAACGTAACGGGAACGGAAACATACTTAAAAAAATCTAAAACGTTTTTGTATTTTACTCAGGGCGAAATGTTGCCTTAATAAAAATACTAGGAAGCAGTGGAAAAATTACATTATATATACCCATTTATTTGTATATACCCATTTATTTGGTTTAATTTAAATTTATTTATAACGTAATTTACCTTAAATATCAACTCGGCATCCGAAAAGAATTAGCTACATTTTAAAAAATGTACACAATCACTTTGTAACAAAAGCACGATCACCATTTGTGGTCAAAAGTCCGTAAAGTATAATAGCTGATTCTAATGTTACCCGTGCTAAGCAGAGTGACCGCTTCAAGACTGAACCTCGCGCGCTGGTACCATATATCGTATACAGGTAGAAACAAAAAGACACGCAATGCACAAACGAACAGCTTTCCGATAATTTATTGAGGAAACAACGCTAATTTAATACGATTCGATCGATAGGAACTACGGCCTAAACTAATTTGCACAGTCTATTAAGCGGTTAGCTGTCTACAAAAAAGTCTTTGTTTAGTATTTTAATTGGAAACGGTGGATTCCGTTTTGCTACAAGCCCGTTATAGAGGGCTTGACCCTGGGAGAATGCAGGTAATAAAAAACTTACGTTACAATTTCATTACGAGGAATATTAAAGCAATGTCTTGCGCTGGCGAATTAATATTGAATAATCTATGAGTACAACGGTCGGGGATAAGTGAGAGTCCATAAAACATAACGTTATTGCCGTATTAATCCGAAATAAGGCGTATTTTCGTCGGAAGAAGCATAAACCACGGGGCACTTTTCAACGCTCCAGCCTGTGAACCGTACGAGGTCATCTACTGGTCACAACAATTCAAAATTATGGAGAAATATCATAATCTAATTAAGTAAGTCAAATTATTTGACCATAAGCGATTGTGACGTTATGGTTTAGTTTTTATTTATAACAGTGAAAATATTAACTTCTATTATACAACATTATTATAATAAATATATAATGTTAACAATAAAATAACAACGTCTACAGTGATATTTTACATATTTATTAAAATCAAATGTTGATTAAATAAAAAATAAACAAAATGCATACGCGCCTAAAATTATATGAAAAGATATGGAATAATATAATAGAGATATTCCTTTGTATATATTCCGCAGGCTGAAAGAGTATAAAAGTAGTCAAAGAGGAATTTTACAGTCTTTCGCTGCTTTTAATGAAAGTAAACGGAAAATGTTCATAAAGTCGATAAAACTCTACTGTTTAAGGTAAAGGCCCTGCCATCTTTGCACAATATCACATTTAAAAGGATACTCTCCGCCATAATACAACATTAAACAGCTATTTTTTTCGATGTTAGCGTAACTGCGGTAGGGCCACGCAAGTCTTTTTGCACGAGAGGCCAGTTCCGGTGAAGTACCACCACCTCACAGAAGGCTGGCGTGATGTGGATTGCTATACCTCTGCGTTTCGCCTGGTGAGTGAAGTGACCGGAGTCCACTTGACTGAAAGGTGGCAACGCAACAGAAACCCTCCGTTTGTTTCAAATGTACGTGCGGCGGTAATCACCACCATCAGGTGAGTCTCCTGCTAGTTTGCTCCTTTTCTCCATAAAAAAAAACATCACTTGAGCCAACAGCTCGGCTGCCACTGTCTCACGTGAAAAAAACCATTGGCCGATGTCATGCGTGGAGGTTTAAATTAACAATGCAATATCGTAATTTACTCTAAAGGTCAACGTGTACCTTTCTCGCGATATGCCATTGGTGCGAAAGTCGACCACTTTTTTCTCGCCACCGGGTGTTTCTTGATGGTCGACACGACCATGTTAACGCTAGTTGGGATGATTGAAATGATGTGTCAATATCGTCGTGGCCGTCGGTCCGTGACACGACTGTTGGAAGTAATTAAACGCCGACCGGTACTGTAATTTTTTATGCTGTATTACGCTCGTAATCAAATATCAATAATGCCCGACGTAATTAATATTATGATTGGCCGAGTACCTTGTAATTAAATTTATGGAACACGTGGCGTGATATGTTAAATGGGCTTGTTTCTTTTACGAAACTTGTATATTATTGCTAACCTTTTGCATAATGTCGCTAGTGGCACGTTGATCCACTCACGTGAGCCGGTCACAGGTTCGATTCCCCCAGTATTTGTGTGACCCACAGATAAATGTCTCCCGATTGATCTCGTCCATTCGGTCGTACTTCGGATTTGTGGCAATTTTACTCATAACCCAGGCGAAAACCTAGTTATTGCGCGAATTTGCCGTCTCCGTACCGATTATCGTTACTAAAGGTTTATTATTGTAGGCCCGGAAGTATTAAATGGTGGGTAATAACGATAACGTATTTCCTTAATTCAAACGCAGTAAAGACAAAAGGTTTCTCCCCCTAGAAATTTACACACTTCCGATCGGAAGTGTATGCTGACATACAAAGGTGTAAAGTTTTTTTTTCTTAACGGTACTTAGACCAGTTTAAAGTCCATGAAAACGCTGCATAAAGTGGCCTTGAAGTAACAAAGGAATAAAATATACGAAAAGGAAAGAACTTATTATTTTAGTTTCCTCTATTAATGTTCGCTGCTTAATCACTTTGCAAAATACATTTATTACTAATTGTTTTAATAATTCTTCGGATGCTTTAACATACTGCAATGTACGCAGCCATTTCCCGTTGACTAATTGGCATGGATACAATACGAACATAGAATAATGTTACTGTTTGTAATACTTATTTTAGTTTATAAAAGACCATCTAATGGGGATAAGGAGTACAAAAGCCCTGACGACTTCAGGTTGGATTGCCTAGTGGCGTATGATAAAAGCAATGAATTAAAGAGGCACACATAAAGACCAATGAGTTATAAACAAGTTACTGGTAACATTCTTTTCTGGCAGAATGACACCGTTGCCCGTGGAACTGTGGCGTGGAAATAGTATGGGTTTTCCAGCGATGGTGCGGGATGGGGTCGTTCGTCGTCGTGTAATTTTTATAATAGAACAAAAGGAGCAAACAATGCCCTTCGCCGAGGTATAGGCAGAGCCACAGCGCAGCCCGCGTTTGATTTAACGCATAAGAATGTGGGGTATGGCCCACACCGCCCCGAGTGCGAGGGAGATCAACGCGCGGGGGACCGGGACGCAGATATCGCAATTACCTCGTGAGATTGTTGAATAAATTTACATTCAGTTGATTGAAATAATAATGAAATTGCTACAGCTCACTCCGTAGCCCCGTGCGCGATATTTAAATTTATAATAAAATCATAATGTTATACAAATCGTGCATGTGATACGCGCCGCCATTTCTATGATAATCAGGTTCTTTCTCTCGGTGTCTTATGTATTGAATAATTCAAAATTGCCGCGAAGTCAATACCCATTATTTGAAGAAAATAGTAATAACACTCCTTTTATATCGAGAGAATAGGGATAGAGACGGGAGAACATGGACGTAATGCACAACAGACCGCAATGTGATTTTTTTTAATGTGAAAAGTTGCCAAGCGAGCAGACGGTTCACCTGATGTTTAAAGAATACCGCTGCCCATGGACATCTGCTACAACTGAGGGTTCCAGATGCGTTGACAACCTTTTGAAAATGGGGCTCCGGCCACCTCACTCACCAGACGAAACGCGAAAGTATTATACTTCCACTTTACGACGGTCTTCTGTGAGGTCGTGGTACTTACCCGGACGGGCCTGCCCATGCGTGCAACAGCCGAGGCTGCTGCATAGCACCGTTGAATTGTAAAAAGTGATAATTTCAAGCAAAAATAATAATAAAATATACTAAAAGGTATTAATAGTTTGATAGTGTTGAGCTTTGTATTTTTTTTGTGTATTACATAAGTATCTAGCAACATACCACAGTACGTATACCTGTTTTTTTTTACCTTGGACCTCAAAACTTTAGTGTTCTATAATATGCAAGCAAAGCAGTAGTTCCGCCAAAATGTCAATTAGATGGCCTCTACGTGATATTTTGGCAAAGATAATAAAGAAAACACAACATTTTGAATATGAAAACATATGTATGACCAATACCGTATTAATTAATTTATACATTTATTTTTGCGTTAACGATTCGAAGCCACACTTCGGAATTGGTGCACCCGCCGCTGAGCAGTGAGAACGTAAATTATTCCTGTATACGTACTAGAGCTTAAATAATTCATTTCACAGACTATTAATTTATGTAGCAATGTTTTTATGACTCAGAACGTTTTATGTTAATTTGAAATGTCAATGTAATAATGGCGACGCCCTTCTTACTTCGCCCGATGTCGGGGCATTTGTTATTTGCGAAATTTATTAAAATGAAAATATTATTCATGCGAATTATGTAAGTAGACTTTTTTGTGGACGGTTCGGACCAAGTCTTATGTTCAACATAGCGCCACTTTGCTACTGTTCGATAAAGAGTCTTCCCTAGTAGAACATTTAATTTATATTTTAAATAGAAAAATAATAGTATACTGTTTTCGCGAGTTGTGAGTGACAGAAGAGTTGTGCGGGTTGCCAACGTTGAAGATAGATGATTTCATCCATAACAACTATAAAATTGTGGTCGAACCAACCTTTCTAAATAACGTATACCCAACAAACTGATCAGTGATAAAATAAAACTCAAAAGAAAAAAAACTTCATAATGAAATATGTCTGGCCAGTGGTAATAATCGAGAAATAACTCGCGGACATCACATAAGAATTTGCACGTCAAACCGATGAATTCCGAACAACTGTCCAAATATCGTTTTGACATTTTACAACACAAACCGAGTCCAATATAATTGATCAAACTGCAATCAATACGCTATTCACGGGACCACAAATATTGCTGATTTCGAACGCAATTACCGATATTGGTCAAATAGCAAACTGTTCGGCACATACAAATATGTCATTCAAACCACCGCAGGTATGCGTAAAGACAGAATATCTAACGGTGTAATGGCGCGGGCCGGCGCGTTCCGGCGGAGCGGGATAATTGAATGAAGGTGTATCCGTGCTATTGAGTCCGAAATGCGCCTAAGCCGACGCGTCACAGGAACCTGTTCTGGCATCCGCGTAAATGCCACTAATGTGTCCGTCCTAATGTGTCCGAAATTAGCTAATGAAACGTCACTGGAGGAAAACGTAACTGTGTGATTGCGGCCTCCTCCGCGGAAAGCGATTTCCTTTTTATACGTGAACCGCCTATTTATGGTAATTCTTTTGTGGACGGACGAAATTGAAAAAAAAAAAAAACATGGTAATTTGTAGCTTCTGCGTCGTACGGACGGGCGAGGTAATTGGGCGTTACGAAAAATGAAAAGCCGCCATCAGACCGGTCCTCGGTGCGTAACAGAAGAGTTTTGTTCTCATCCGGCTATGCGATATGGTATCTCCCCGTGATAGTTTCAGCCGCTTCGCGCCAGTGTTCCGCATCTGTTGCATTTCGTGCTTTGCTAGAGCATCAGCCCGTGGCCGCCAGACCTAAAAGTCAGTACACGACGGACGTGACTTCTTTTCGTGGTGGTAAGCGATATGCCGTCGAACAACAATTTTGTGAAGGAATTAAAACAGAAACAAGAAGTGAAAATGCAGTACAATCAATACAAGGATTGTTTTGAATGTATTCGTCCAAATTTTACGCATCCTTGACCTTACCCAAGAGGTCAGGAGACGGCCCGGCGGACACATTGGGAACTATTCGAACGGAAAAATCGGGCGAGGCGGTGCGGGAAGGCGAACGCCGTCCACTGAGACGTGAGCCGTCGGCGGGTGGGCGCAAGTAGGGACGCGGGGGTCGACGCAAGACGGGCCAGTTGTCGCGGGCGACCCTGACCTAGCTCAAGAGCTGGGGTCACGTGGCCGGGCGGGGGTGAAACTCCGGCCGTTCACCTTGAGACGTGCAGCTTAGGCGGACGAGATAGCGGATTACGAATCGCCTCCGCTCGCCTTCGGTGCAATCGGTTGGCTTCAAGGTCGCGTGGCGAGGTCAACGACCATTACATCGGACGGTGTACAGACGGACCTCTTCATAGCATCTGAAGAATTGGCGAGCATCGCTTATGTAAGGCAAAAATATTCACCTATAATAGTGGAATTTCCCTAAAGAATGAAGCGAAAACTAAGGAGCCATGAACGCAATAAATAACGCTTATTACAAACTATAAATAATAACTGCGAGGCCTAGCTACTTTGTATAATATAACGTTGGCTCGCAGTCGATTTGATAAAAATCTTTGTTCTTAATGAAATTTCTTAAATATACTTATGTTCATTTAATGACAGTGCCTAAACGAATTTATATGAAACAAATGAGCGGGTTGGCGGAGTTAATGTATCTGTTTGCACACAACACAATTTGCAACACATTTTGACAACGAATTGCAGTCGTATTTCCGTACTTCTGATTTTTCCATGAATTGTAACATATCGATATACGTTCAGCGCAGTGTTAAAACTGAGCTCAAACAAGCGACAACTGATAAAGGGACCCGCGGAATACTGTTTAACGGCGGGCGTGGGGTGATCGCAATTCAGAAGGATGCACGCCAAGAAAGGGGCCATTGGGAGCGGAACCGCTCAATTCCGCCGGCGGGCGTCGCGAATTGGCGCGTCGCAAGTGACCGAGACGCGAGCGTCCGGCTAGCTGATAGATCCTTCGAGTTTCTCCCGCGCCGTTGCGATACCACTTACTCGCCTTCCTGCGCGAAACGCATAAAATCAGGCCACCGAAGTTCCAATGCTGTAACACTGTTGAGTAATATCGAAAGATCGCTTTAATAATAACATTTATCGTTATCAGTAGTCACCTTGTAAGTATAAAATGCCTGTGGCAGGTCACATCGCTCTTCCATAGTTAATATAACCTACAACTCATAATATAATACGACTAATAACTAGTCTAGAAATTGTAATAAAAAAGTGTAAACAAAATAAAAATAGCATACTATATATATTTATTATATAGCTTAAAGTCAACGTTTTGTATCAGCATATGCCATTTTAGGGAAATAGTGTTTGTGCTGGAGTGTGAATGAGTGTGTTTATTTCATTTGTTGCAATAATGACTCTGTCTTATCATAATTTAAAGGTATAAGAAAATAAGTTAATATTTGCTTACATTCTTTAAGTGCTTTCCTGTAGATGTCGAGCATTTTGTTTATTTTATTGCATAGATATTGTGAGCTTTATTAAATACATACTCTGTTGGTAGATTTGCATACTCTGTTGTCGAATACAAACACATTCCGAAACACTGAAACCGAGGAGTTATAGTAAAGTAATTATATTTTTTTTTGAGGTAAAACAAACAAACTCAGCATCATACAGCCTTTACAAAGGCCACTTTGGATGCCATTTACGTGACCAACTACATATATGATCATCGACCACTTTGAGAGGTTGGTTATTTTTTTTTTAATGCATTACCCTGTCTGAAATCTCTATTCACGCCACTGCGTGGTAAAAATTTTTACGAACCTAATCAAGGGTGAATAACCCTCCCTCCCCGCAGCATGTTGGCTGATATTAATATTTTAATCATAATTGAAATAATTTACAGTTAATATCACATTACAAGACCGCGGCAAAGCGCTGTGACTCTCAAATATTTAAACCCAAACTATTGAGTCCAAACATTTTGTACAAATATTTATCCGTTTTCCCGATATTATTTACTGTAGCCGAATTCAAATGAAACACGCATTTATGTATTTCGTAGCTTTGATGTCAGAACGCTTCCAACTGTAAATTTGTTGTTAAGTACACATTGGGTGCGAAAATATATACGTATATTATACATTTGATACGAAGTTATTATCGCTGTTCGGCTGTATGGAAAATGGGAAGCAGTAAAGTTTTTTTTTTTTTCATAGACAACGAAACTATTTTATTGTTAATTTATTATAAAACAATGACATTCGGAAGAGTCCAGAGGGTGGCGACTTTGTATTTTTTTATTTGAGAAGGTGGCAAGGCAGCTGGCGGTTCGACTAACGTTAAGTGATAACCGCCACCCATGGACATTTTCAGCACACATAGGTTGCAGATGCGTTGCCACCTTTTAATAAATTGCCACCGTCTACCTCACAGCGCAGAAATCGTCCCCTTCTTTTCGGTCCTCTGTGAGGTTGTGGTACTCCCCCGGACTGTGCTGCCCATTTGCCCAGTGCCTACCACAATACGGCCATGTTTCTTGTCCGTGTGAATTATCTGCAGCGCTAGTAAGTGGCAGGAAGGTGGTGCATCCGGCGAACGCCTCAAGTGTACGCTCAGGGGACACTCGCGAATTAGATATAGGCAGAGGTTTTCTATCGTGCGCGTCGTACGAGACAAGACTACCGATGGTTATTGTTAATATTAACACGTATGCGATATGGAATAACCCCTATATGAGTACAGTTTATTTGTTTCGTTTCGGCAAAAAGCGATATATCACTATGACGCGTTTGCATTTGATAATCATTTGCGCCTAAAATATTATCGATATAAATAAGCCTTTTCTGGCCCTATCTAGCTGTGGAAGATATATTTTTTGATGTCAACAATATTTCATAAATTTAAGTAGATCTACGATAAACGTAATATATCTACAAACATTTTTTCCCATAGTTCACCTCACTCAGTTCATGTGGCCTTTTCTAATAACCATTCAATAATAGATATTGCTTTGAAGTGAGCGTGGGAGTGGCATCAATTTATTAAATGTACCATTGCATTGCTGAATAGATGGGGCGTTTCTTAGGAATTAATTCACTTAATAATGAATAAAACTATTACTTCAAATATAACAATCGCGATTATTTGAAACAATAATTAGTTGCCGTCATTTTATTAATTAGATAGTAATGGCTTGACACTGAATTTTCTTTTGTAACATCGTAATAATTATAGAAAAGAAAATCATGACTTCAAAATGATGTTAATGCTTGATCCCCTACCTAACACACTCCGTATCCATTGCGCTTAGCTTACACACGTTCAAGAAGTTATGCCTGATAGTATGTGTTATGGGCGTCCGTCTTTCCGTCCGATTACAACGTAGGCGTCTTCAAGGCAAGAGTGAATAGGTTTTTACTGAGCTAGCGCGCTTACCATCAAAGGCTGCATCGCCACTTACCATCAGGTGGGATGGCAGTCAAGTGCTGGCGAGTTCAAAAAAAAGAAACGAATCAATAAGGATTATTTTGCGATGTAACACTTTTCATGACGATACGACGTATGTGAGGTGAAGAAAACATAGCCAACTCCTCCTTGGTCCGCTACGCGGTATAATGGAACTATGAACAAAACGATAAATATATCCAAGTACCGCTTGACTGATCGCTCAATCAGACCTCTTTCCCTCTCGCTCATTGCGAGCGTGAAAGAGTGAACGAATAAACAAAAACTGACTCCACGAGTCGTTTGGAAGGCGTAACGCGATTTTCACACCCATACATAAACACGGTAGCTCGCTAAGTTTAAAATGGTTTGTGCATCCATAAGTGCATCCTAATCTTGTCTCTATCGCAGTGAATTTTCTTTTAATTAGAAATATAATTAGATAGAGCTTTGTCTTGTGGCTTAATTCTATTTTAATGATATCGGAGCATGTAGTAGTGTACATAAATATATTTTTGGCGGACAATATGTATATTCAAATTGAAATTTGACACTTTTATCAATTTTCAACGCTATCAACCAGTTCAGGAAAAGAAAAGCCACTGACCTGAGAAAAACCGGCGCAAGATAATAATCAGCGGGACATTTTTTTTTTACCATCAAGAAACATGTTTAAAAATGTATTGAAGTCCACTTAAAAGAGCCTGAAGGGATCAATTAATTTCTAGGGTGTGTTAAAATTTAAATAATTTAAATAATCACTAATATTAGAATCGGTCTCGGTCTGAGAAAGTACTTTCGCTGTTGACGTTTTTTTTATGTGAATAGTTGTGAAACGAGCTGACGGTACACCTGATGTTAAGTGAATACCGCCGCCCATGGACATCTGCCACACCAGAGGGTTACAGATGCTTTGACAACCTTTTGAAAATTGGGCTCTGGCTACCTCACTCACCAGACGAGACGCGAAAGTGTTTGTCTTACTTTTACTTTATGCTGGTCTTTTGTGAGGTCGTGGTAATCACCCGGACGGGCCTGCCCATTCGTGCAACAGCCGAGGCTGCTGCGTGGCCCTACCACCGCAAACGTTCAATTCAATTTCAATTTAATAGGTGATATTCACAGTTATAATAATATAATTATGTTGGGTGCCTTATAAAATATTATTGTCAAAAATATTCATGCAATTAGCCCCTGAATCGAATTGGTTGATTTGTCAACTCTTGCAAAACCGAGGTGATTTCTACCATTTAATTATAAACCAGTCGCTTCAAGTTTGACCGCCTTAACACTAGAAAGCGTCAACTATACAGATAATATATTTATGAAAAAAAAAACTTAATTGTCACCATCCTCGAGAGAAACATAAGCGAACATGAACTGGAAGTGATGGAGTGCAGATGTGGTCGCGGCGACAACCGCTCGCCTACTACGGCCCCCCGACAACACAATTAAGCGTGTTTCTTTCGTAAGTACAACAATTAATCTGACCCCAGTGGTTTCTAACAGTTTTTTCGCGATAATTACAACGATAAGCGTTAATGATACACTCACATTTTCTTTCTGTATGTTAATATATTATATTATTAAGTTGATGCTATTATTTTTTTGGTAGTTCCGACTTCAAAGTGGAACGCATCTCGGCACCGGCGCGGTGTTAAAGTAACATTATTCGTTTTAAAACTTTAATGATGATTCTTTTTACGTGGAATAATTGTTAAGGAAATTATACATTTTAATACTTGGTTATTGCGCTTTTACCTACGCTCTGGCCGTGGAATATGTTAGTTATCTAGTTTAGTAACTGATTACCATATTATGAGGAAGTGTAACAACTTCAATCTATTAGACACGTTACCTTGGGGAAAAATGGTGAATATGATGAGATGCCAAGATTTAGAATGTTTTTTCTAATTTATAATGGATTTTATAATGGGTATGTACCTACTATTTTGAATGTTCCTACCATTTTCGTCTGACGATTCGATCAATAAATATGTTATTTTACTCCTTACACAATTTCAGAGTAAACCAAACTTTTCTTTTTCAAAATAAGTTTTTATTATTTGTTAATTAATACAAGCGCTTTGATTTGATACCCATATCAGAGAGCCCACTATGGATATTATGTTTCGCCATTTTTCGACGTCCGCCATATTTGATTAAAATTGGCGACAGTCAAGTAATCGTGCATTGTGCCTAGAAGCCAACGAGTGCGCCAAACTTCGTTATTTATTATGTATAATTATTTCATTACCGACTTGCAAGATTCCGTTACAGACAACGAAGCACTTTTGATATACTGAAAATGGGCGCGTATCGAGAATGACCGCCAGAAACGATTATTGCTAGCCCTCCTGTACTATTTGATAGTAAAGGGTTGCATACTCTTATTCTCATCTAGGATAAGATTAAGGAATTGCGGCCTTACGTCGAGGCTAATCCGCGGGTAGACCTATGGCATCGCCCTGCCGCCCCCGAAAAGTGCCCTCGAGTCAAGCACTCCTCGGGGTGGGTGGGGGGTGTCAGCGGGAAGGGGGGAAGGGTACGTTGCCCCCCCCCCCCCCCACCCACCCCAACTTCGAAAAAAGGCGATGCACTTCTGATTGTTCCTTTTATGTCCACGATCGATCGCTCCGGTAGAAGGAGTGCGTTTTTATCTGTCCGGCTTGGTTGGACACCGGGGCGCGTTACTTCGCACGTGGTGTACTAATTGGGGGCGGTGGGGAGTGGGGGGGGGGGGGGGGGGGACGGGGACGCGTGGCCCCGTCCATCACGTTGCAGTCAAACGAATATAATAGAGCGAACAAAGTCGTTGCTATGTCATTGGAAAAGAAATTGACATCGGACCTAACCATCGCCCCGCAAATTAAACAAGCCTAGATTGAAGTGGGAAAACGTAACAAAAGTATGTTGAATATTTTTCCTTTTATGAAATGCGCTAAGGTTATTATAATACTGAAATAGTTATATTATATATAACTTTTTAATATTATTTTCTCTGTTCTGATCGAAATACTTAACGAAATTGATGTCCGCCTAAAATCTAAAATCAAATGAGAAGACGAGTTGCTTCGGGTAATTATTGATTTCACTTACCGTTACCCAGTAGAACTTTGAAGTTTATTGTTATATATGAAACTTACCTGAAAATAAAAAAAAGTAAATTATTAAAGAGAATAGGTTAAAATTAAGACACACAAGGCGCACTGAGGTGATAAATAATAAAATTATGTGTTCATATTTCAATGTAAATTTATAGATTCATACATATTAATGGGATCTAAAAATGAGTACTTAAAAGTGCATAGACTCGTACAAGTACACTGTTACTTTTTTATACAGAAAGGATATTACTAAAAAAAAATTTAATAACCACTGCACCACCTTACACTGTCTTAAAATAAAATAAAGATATAAGTCTGCAACAGTAACTTTTGTAAAAAGTATACGAGTCCTATAAGACGTATTTCCATAAAAACGTGTACTGCACTTAAACAAGTTAAGTTAAAAATGGTTAACCGGTTGTTTAAGACAATAATTAATAAACAAGATGGAACCTAAACCGTGGGAGCAATCTTGAATTTACTTATTTAATGTTATACACAGAATTAATAGGGTAAAGAGACGGGATCAAATACTATCGCACTGTTGCCAATAAACTCTGTTGGTACAGTCGTGTACAACGGTGGTAAACGCTATACCAAAATATTATATGGTTATTCCTGCAGTAGCGTCGGCTGTTGCACGAATGGGCAGGCTCGTCCGGGTAAGTACCACGACCTCACAGAAGACCGGCGTCAAGTGGAAGTATAATACTTTCGTATTTCGTCTGGTGATTGTGGTGGCCGGAGCCCAAATTTCAAAAGGTTGTCAACACATCTGGAACCCTCGAGTGTAGCAGATGTCCATGGGCGGCGGTATTAACTTAATATCAGGTGAACCGTCTGCTCGTTTGGCAACTTTTCACATAAAAAAAATTAACCTATTTAAGTCCTAAGGATTTTAGTAAAAATAAAACATTTCTGATTCCGTCGACGACAGTCGCTGCGAACTGAAATGACCACACCTATGGAAGGGTATGCTTCATCACAAAGCACTTTATACCAAAAACTAATATTTACTGTAGCGTTCTGTTGTTGGAATGAAATTTTAAATAAATTTGAAACGATTTCTATGCGAGTAGTGGCATTAAAGTTACTCGACGACTACTTAAGATAATATAAATAATATTCGCAATTGAATTTTCAATTACGAACATTATCAAATTTATGTGGGATCGCATACATTTTGCTTATACCATAGCACAAGATCACACACCGAAAAAAAGACGCTCAATTGAGCCAACGACTTGGGAGCCATATAAAGTCGGTCATTAGGTCGATTGTCAGATTTTCTATAAGTGCCGCGACATTTATCGCGCGCGGCAAAAAGTAACACGTCATGTCGCCAGATGCTTACAAAGAAATGTTACTCGGACGCTCTTCGTAAACGAATTTATATTTAATACATGAGTTGAGACCGGTCCGGGTGCCGTATAATATAGCCAAGTGATTTCGAGTATTCACTTTTGACATTCAAATAATACCGAAACGTCTCGCGCTAGCCGTTAAATGACCCTTATAAAGTTGCAACACCACATCGATGAACGCTTCCGTAATCGTCTGTACCGGGAATCGAACTTTGATTGATCGGAATTGACTACGAGCACTGCAATGTAATTGAAGACGAAGTGCGACCGGCAATTGATCGAATCAAATCGTCAGCCGGGGTTACGATTAAAATAAATAGAAAACGCGGTAAGATATAAAACGTTACCCTTCAAGTTTTACGTCTGCAGTTAAACGCAAAAACTTCTAAAACAAAAAAAAAATACAGCCGCCAGAAATGTCAATGCTTAATGACATTTAACTTTACAGAGAAAACGAAATCCTCCCCATAGATAGTTCAAGTGCAGGCAGCGTGACGAAACACACTGCTTTAAAAGGGTACAATGCAAGTTACTAATGAAATTACATTTACTTCGCCTACAAATTAAACTCACTTATCATGCACTTAGCGGCGGGCGGATAGAAAAAGCGGGCGAACAGAGCTCCCTGTTATTTTATAATTGCAAACGCTAAAACAGCGGACGTCTATAAAAAGAAAAACACACAAAGTTGGCCTTTAGAAATCAAGGCGGGCAATATATGTACATCCTCGCAATATCTCAATCGGAAAGATGTTAGCAACAAGTTTTTTATAATTAAAAACAATACTGCAAGTGTCTGTCCCTATTCACAATCGTGAGCACAAGGTTACATGAACACAAACGCGCATTTTAGAGAGATAGACGAGAGGGAACACGTTGAAATAATTCGTTTTCTGCTACTCTCGTCTTCTAAATCTTCTTTATACTATACGTGAACCAAAAACTTTGTACCCCTTTTTACGATTGCACGGATGGCGGAATATGAAATTTCCCACAGAGGAGTGTAGAATGCTAATATTTTTTTAATTGTGCACAAAAAATTCATTAAATTAATTAAAAAAACACTACACATACATTTTATTTAATTATGGTCGAATTTCTACCACTAGGCGACCACCAGTATTATATATATATCGTAAATAACTGCTACGGATTGTATCCAATATCACTCTACATTGTATAGATTAACAATTGTTTACGTTTGGTATGTATTGTCTTGTGTAGCCTCCACTTTCTTCCGCAACATAATATTATATTATTTTTACCCATCGTTTCTAATCTATTTATTTATTCTTAATGCACATAAAGTACAAAGGCGGACTTAATGCCATAGGCATTATCTCCCAGTCAACCTTAGGGTGATACAGAGACAGTTTGGTAGGTGCACAGAGAAAAAAACTCTATTTACCACATCATCAAGACTTGTCCCAATTGACGTATGTTTAAATTATTATCCTTTTATTCGTAAAAAACTATTTATTTAAAACAATTTATTGCACAAATGGATGGACGTTTTAATGTAGATACAAAATGAAAAGGACAAGCAAAAAGGCCGTTGTCCTTTTTGCATGAAATGTAATTCTATTTTAAAATAGCGTCAAACCCTTACGAAAGTTCCCATTAATAGCGGGGCCGCAATTATTTATGAATGCTGGATCCGATTTTTGATTGTTCATATTTGGGTACGGACGACTTTTTGAGAGCACGCGGGCAATTTATATTACTTGCAGCGGCAATTTAAATACAATTTCAAAACACTCCATATTAACAACTCTTCGCCGTTTGAATTACTCGTCGAGTTTGCGGTACGGGTATACCATTGCGTTTCCTCCTATTAAATAAATTATATGTAACTTTATCCGTTTACTTTTCGTGAATAAAAAAATTTTGTAACAACCATTCATGAATAATTAAAATTAAAATGTACTGAGAGTTTTAAAACAATCCTAATAGAAATTACTTATATGTTTGAATGTTCGTTTGGGACTTCTACGAGGTGGAGTGTTACCCGTAGAAAGTACCAGGGAGATGACGTTGGGGCTTATCTTTAGTAATGGGCTAAGACTTTTTTTACGTGTGGCTAAGATCCGGCAATGATGATAACGATAGGACTTCCCAGGGGAAATCTGAGTAGTCCGTTCCTATGCCAGGTTCCTCTAAAGTTATGGAACATTTGAAACATGTGTAATCTTTCGAAGCTAAGTCCGTGAGGTACCGTTTTGTATAAATAGTCAAAAATCAATATTGATTTTTGACTATTTATATTACTATTTTTTTTAATATCAAATAATATGTTCTCATATACATAAGTATAAACCTAAAGTCAATTAAACGGAGGCACTAATACTATTATGAATTTTATGATATTAATGTAATTAAAGTTTTTGTCTCGTCTCGTAATATCATACAATATATTATATGTCGTAATAGCACGCATAAAATATATTAAAATATTACTGACATAAATAATTCATAAGCGCCTTTTTATTTAATAATCGCTAAAAACAACATCTCCAATTACAAATATTTAATACGAAACCGGTATGATATTTGCGCCAAGTACGGTCAGCGCGATCGATAAAAGTTTTAAATGTAAAAAAGGGCTACACAAGCGTTTACAATTTATTAAGTTTGCGAAACGAAATTTAAATGCGAGGAAACAAAAATATTACAAATGCAAAGAAACAAATTAATGTTGCGCATTTCTTTGACGGCACCACGCGATACAATTAAGTGCAAACTGCTATTTTTAATTCAGTTAATGTGGCAGGTGCGATAGCAAAAACATGTTATTTTAGACAGACTCGGGGAAAAATAATGATATAAGTGTATTTTATAATGATAATACCTTAATAAGTATGGAAGCACGTATACACTAAGTTTTATTAAAATCCATTTAACATTTTTTCGCTTGCTTGTACATGGATACTACGTTTAATGTAGTCCAATGAATTGGTAGTAAGTCGGTAGGCCCGCCACGACAATGTACGTCGAGGCATGTCACAAATGTTGTCAAATTGAATAAATTTTATGATGATACAACGTGCGTACTTATTTTAATGTGCGAATAAATAAGTGGCCGTTTCACTCAAAAGGGAACTTAAATACGTAATTTTATGTACAACCGGATACATTACAGAGCCCATGGAGTTTAACTGAACAGAGTGCATAGTTGGGATTTATAGCAAATAAAATCATATTAACTGGAAAAGTCCTCCGACATCTTGTAGTGTGTATAAAAATTAATCCAATTAACTTTGATACTACACTGCTGGAAATTTCCAAGGTTTATATTGGATGTACAGCCATCGGTGGTGCATCTTAGTATTCGCAGAATTCCTCTAATGCTATAAAGAAGTAAAAAAAGCTTTTTTTCAAAGAAATTCAAAGTGGTCGTCAATAAATGTCCGCCGATGTCTCAGAGCAGTTTACACTTAGTAATGTAATTAAATAAAAATGAAGTTGTCAGTTTTGCCTTTTTTTGGGGGACGTTCATGGAAACAGAGTTGAGGGTTCACCTGACCGGTCACAACACCAGCGATGTTGCGAGAGCGTGGAACACCAGCTAACTCACTGACCAGACCGTTAACCGACCGTTAGACCGTCGTGTCTAAATATAAGTTATGAGCCTTACATGAGGTACCCAACGTTAGTTCAATGGCAGATATCAATGTAATGTCGAATCAGGTAAAATAAAGTGGCGTTAAAAGCCATTCGTCCGCAACTTCCCCCGCAAAATGTTGCGCCCGAACAATTAGATTATTAAAACGTAATAGGCAACGGAGCACAGAAATGCCGCACCGTTGAACGATTTTTAATAATTCAATATCAATTACAATCGTTCATACCTTAAGACAAAAATAATGCGCCTTATTGAAAATTTCATACATTTTAAAGTAAATAGCGTGTTGTTTGCGTTGGATCTTGACCTTCTAGTCTACTACTTACTATCTAAGGTATAATATTAATGTATATTTGATATAAGTAATTATATAAATACGGTATATATGCGTTCACTACACCGATTGGTAGAATTTTCAATAGCCGACCCGCTTTGGCCAATGAAAATATTCAGTTACCATCATGTAGTTCTGAACAGAACAGCAAGCAATGTTACCGTCCAGCCCTGTAGTCGCAGGCTTATGGACAGGGCTAAGGTATTCCCTGCCTGTCGTAAAAGGCGACTAAAAGGGGACACGGATTGACAGCAGCTCGAAGTGGTCTCGAGCTGCTGCAAGATGGTGAGGGAATCGGGGAAGGTCCATTCTTCTCCGAGGCGTGCTCACGCGCAGTACTGTGGGACACCGGTGCGTTCCGTGGGAGATCCCGGAGTCCCTCCAAACGTACAGAGGGTGGCCACCGAGGGGGTTTTAGTGGGTAAGAGCCCCACGTAACCGTGTCATGTAAGGTCACAGGGTCTCTTTTGAATATTTCCCCCCCGATACAAAAAAACACTTTCGCAATCGCACATATAAGAGCTAAGCAAGAAATAACAATTTCTTTTCTCGTAAACCGCTATCGGGGAATAGTGAGAGGAGAATGTGATTCATTACTATGGGCGAATTACTGCAGCTGAAATGGGGAGAGATGCCTAGCGCAGAGAGCAGTCTGCTGCTCGCTGCTCACCGCCCGTGGGACCGCCGCCGATTTCTGTATCCATATGAAATTTCAGATGAATGGGTTCAAAGGTATAAAGTGATTAAACAGCCGTGCCGTTGCGGCCTTTGTTTTGTCTCTGTTTCAACGATATTATTTTTTTTTTTTTCATCCGACACACTAGTGCCGCAGAGCGTCGTCGGACGAGAAGACGGTGCGGAATATCGACATTTATTAATTCATCCAACTGATGGTGTGTTCAGACATTTTTTTGTTCCCTCATGTGTTATTAATTAACAATCAATGGGGCTGAAATTGGTAACAACAAATAACATTTTCTTGGTTTTCACTTCGTAATATTACGTGTATAAGTTAAAGTACCTGGAGGACTGAGCTTTGCTCGGTTTTTGGTAAATCATGTATTTTGGAAATAAAAAAAAATAAAAAATAAAGAAATTGAAAAAATCTTTTACAGTGACAGCTGTGCGTTTGTGAAATTCTTTGCCCCTTCACATTCGACAAGCTTAGTCACTTCTTTCTTTTAAAAACCTATTAAAAGCCTTTCCTTTTCTATTTTTCCCGAAATCTTTGACTATCTCATTGACGTATAAATGCCTTCATCCGATGTTTCATAAGTGATTCATGTACACATCCCTCTGCTCTCTTCTTTATGTCTCATTAGCAAATATTCTTTTCACAATGGTTGTCTGGAAGAAATCGCTTTCTGAGCGATAAGACCGCCTATTGTACTTCCTTTTATATTCATTTGTAATTTGCTTTTTATATATTTTTATTTTTGATGTACAATAAAGTATAAATAAATAAATAAAGTGATCTGGTATAAAAAAAAAAATAAGTGTGTAAATGATCGTGATACGAACCGCGACCGTCTGTTTCGGGGCCGCCCGATTACCGACCAAGCTATTATAACATTTATTTTGCGGCGAAATTTACTGTAATATTCGAATGATATTTTTCATTCCCTTTCATTCCCAAAACAGGGATAAAAGGACATTTTCTAAAAATAGCCTAGAAACCTAGCTAGATCGATTTTTCGCCCCCGAATCTACGCACATACTAAATTTCATGAAAATCGCTGGAGCGGTTTCCGAGATTCCGATTGTATATAGATAATAGTAATAATAATGACGATAGTAATAATGACGGTTTAAGCTATTGAATTTATTCATTGCTTATAATTATTTATTTATAAGACAGAACGGTAAGCTTGCATAGCGCGAGGAATTGACCGGCCCAATCCTAACATTAGTATAATCGGCACTCACGATGTCCAATATGAGAATGATACGCACCATTCTTTCTGCGTTTTATCAACGAGGCCATCTTAAATTATACCGGGTAAGGTGTAAATGCAGCGAGAAGATTTACGTTGTCTCAAACTGGATCAAACTGCAGCACTAAACGGATCATGAGTAATTTTGCTTGGGCACTGTGTTTTGTTTTTGCTTTACTGTTCTACGGTGTAAAGTACACATTATAAATGAAATGCAATTTCTAGTACGTCGCCTGTAAGACCGTGGATTGTAATTATTATTATTTTTAAATATTGGTATTTATCAATATTGGTATTTTATTATTAGATACTGGTATATATTATTGTTAGTAATCAATATATGTGAAAGTCTGAGCGAGCACGTTGTCCGTCAATATAGTGACATCTGCGGTTTTAGTTCGGCACGGAGAGGGAGAAGTACGCGCCTCATGGGGGGATAAATTAGCGTTTCTCTTTCAGCTGGAAGCTCCTCATTCTTTTATTAATATCGGTGGATACGCGCGGTCGTCGACCCGGGCGTTATTGCGAAGAAGACGCGCATTAATATTTCATGTGTTATTCATGCATTTCCAAATACCCATGAATATAGGACACGACAATGGATCCGAGTCGTTATGTTGCTAAATAACGATGTATTGCCTAAGCGATCCAACATTTTACATGTCTATTCTTGGGCTATTTCCCTTCTAGGATTTCCTTGGCCAGTATGAGCGCTGGTGGCGAATTCATGAATCGCTTTGACTCCAATTCATAATTTTATTCAGACAACACTCACGAATTGATTACGATCGGAAAACTAGATACTTTGTACCCATGTGTGTACTTATGTACGCATGTAAAAACAACGTTAAAATTCATCGCCAACGCCTGTTCGGCTAGTCAATAAATAATAAAGACATACAAAATGTAGCCGTATCAGGTGACACTAACATTAGATTTTTGTAGGGCAACATTTCGTTACATTAGCGGACGTGGAGGGCCGCCCAACTAGATACAAGCGGTACATTTCCGTAGCCTACATGGCCCCATACCCACGGCCGGCCCCCCTCGCCCCGCGGCCCCCACCAGTTAATTGCCAAAACAATTAAACCATTTATCAACGATGCGAATTTTAAGTGTCCGATTTCATTGGAAGTGAACAAGCGCACACACACGAGTAATTATTATATTACGCGGCAACACAATCTCCAATTGATTTTTAACTTCGACCCGCTATCACCTACGATTAACATAATCCGCCGGTTCAACTTACACTTCCCCGTCCCACTTGAGTAGCGAAAAATTTTGCGACGAAGTAGATTTCTTCCGTGAGTTTATTGTCATGAATTAATCATGTACAAAATGCTCCCACTAATGCGCAACGTAATATGTAATGGGCAAGTCCGTCCGTGGTACGGTCCCCGCCTATTAATTTTATTTTATACTAAGACATTTCTCACAGGTTAGAAGAAATGTAAAATAAAAACAAATTAAAAACCTAGAAAGTGTGTCCTTAGTCGAAATATAAAAACTACGAGTTGTATGCGCGATGCTGATACTTATTTTTTAATCAATGACATTTTATATAAAATTTAATAACAGCAGGAACAAGAAAAAGCACTTAAAGAATTGCGCGCGATAAACACTTGGACAGGAAATTTTTAAAAACAACAAGAACAACACCACAAAGCGGAAAGAAATAGGTAAAGTAGCTAGAGATAACTTTAAAGATCGGACGGATATTTTTCCCGTTTTCACACAGCACTCTGAAAACACATCAGATAAAACATATTACAGGGAAAGACGAGCCTATTTTGGGCGGCGCGTGCATTCGGAGCGCGGAGTACAATATTTCGGCGGCACACGATTCCGTTTTAATAACGGCCCGGATGGATACGCGTTCAAACATTGGGGCGGGCTCTAGTGTGCGGGTAAAAAACGCCCGGCGCAGAACTAGCGTTGGCCGCGCAATAATTGGCCGGGGCAATTAACACGACTTGAACCCGGAGCGCTTTGATCCGCCGTCAGGGTGCACCGCAAAACGATGGCCCGCGGCGGTGACAAACGACGCCGGGGGCGCCGTGAAAAAGGAGAACCGCCCAAGTGCGAGCCGCAGTCGCTCGCGAAGGGTTCCGCAACATTCCATCTATAAAAATGGCAACAGAATCATGTATTTTCTACTGGAGCCCCAACATTTTTCTGTTGTGTTTTTTAGTATTTCTTGTTATAGGGGCAACATATATGCATCAACTGTGAAAATTTCAACCGTCTAACTATACCACGGTATTCACTTATTCATGAGATACAGCCCGGCGACAGTAGGACAGACAGACAGGCTGGACAGTGGAGTCTTATTGAAAGGGTCCCGTTTTACCCTTTGGGTACGGAACCCTGAAAACGTCTCGCAGATATATTGGAATGATGGGCAACCGAATGGGGAGTGGCTCCTTTCAGTGCGGTTTCGGGATTTCTCCTATTTTTTGGTAGATCAAAGCGTTCTAAAATGTGTCTGATGCCGCTTAAATGACAGTGTATTTCGAGTTTACTCTGACACTTGTATCACCGTTACATAACGGATAAATTTATTGTAGTGGTCACTTTTAAGTTACAGTAAGTTAGTCAATCAACCCTATTATATTCGGTTTTATTCGTTGAAAGTCATCAAAACATAAAATAATTTGTCATTGTTTATTTTATAGTATTTATGCTTAAAAATATAAAGTACCTATACTTAAATTCTTCAATTTGTGATGAAAGTTTTAAATGCCTAGACAAAACTTATACTTACTTGTACTATTGTACTATTAAAATATAAGTTCTCTTTATACACGTATCTCATGCCTTATTGCTACTCATTTGCTTTACTGGGTTGTTAGAGGGTTATTATAACAATCTAAGGCGGAAAATGTAAATACGTGCAACAGATGATGTACTTATATAACTATGTACTAAGCAAAATTCTGAAACTATGCCTTAATCGATCAATATTAATGTTTGGACATTATGATTCACATCCGTAACCCTAACGCCCGGTTTATGAAACACTGATCATAATAGAAGTCCACTAATCAGCTGTCAAATGGCTTTTCAAATGTTGTTTGAGTTGCCAAAAGGATTGTTAAACTGTTCGAATTGATCATCCTGATCATTAAGAAGATCAGAATGATCAGAATGAACTTCTTAAGGAAATAAAGCCCACTAGGCAATATTCTTTCACCGACTCACGGGCCGCCAGTACCACAATAAATCACAGAGCGAGTGAATTGTTTTCAGCCCAGCGCAGTGCACGGTGGTATACATAACAAAAGCAGCATCTCACATTCGAACGGATCACGGGGGATTTCCGATATTCTATTTGTAACGATATCGCAGAAATATAAAGCCCTTTGAAAAGGAATACACATGGCGCGTGCAGCGAGAGTCCACAGATTAATCAAAAACACAATTTACCATGATGGATAACGACGGCTCGAAAAAGGGGTAATCACGAAATGCGCCTCGGCCCAACCGACTTTCCTTTGGTACGGTAGAAAAATATCAGGCGATGTAACGCGGGGGAGTTTTTGAATTGGCACGTTGCTGTTGAGGCTCCAGCGGTCGGGAAGCGTCACGTTTCACACTAAAAACAATATTAGAAAAGGACAAAAGGCGTAAGGGTTTCGTCACGATTTCAATGTTGACATAACTCTGTCAGAGACTGCGCTTAAACAATCCTTTGAAGGATAAGCTCGTTTGCCCACGCCTCTGACCCTCGTCGCAACCCACCCGCCAAAAACCACCATCCTATTACATACGTATATACGTCATCATCATCACCATCTATCGCAAGACGTCCACTGTTGACGTAAGACATAAGACAATATATAATCCGACGCTTCATCTACACACATATTACATTTGGTTACAATTTTTATAATTACAAGAGATAACGTTTAACATTTTACGGTGGTAGGCAGTTACGCAGCACCTTCGGCTGTTGTTCGAATGGGCAGGCTCGTCCGGGTAAGTACCACGACCTCATAGAAGACCGGCGTAAAGTGGTAAGTATAATCTTTCGCGTTTCGTCTGGCTAGTGAGGTGGCCGGAGCCCAATTTTCAAAAGGTTGTCAACGGATCTGGAACCCTCGGGTGTAACAGATGTCCATGGGCGGCGGTGTTCACTTAACATCAGGTGAACCGTCTGCTCGTTTGGCAACTTTTCACATAAAAAAAGGCCACTGCCATAGAACGCCACAACGAACGATGTCTACGATGTCGTCGGTCTGCCTAGAGGGAGGCCATCTCAACGCTACCTCTATTTATATTACAGAAGTTAAATACGCGCGACACGTTACGAATGTCAATAATGAGGGCGCTGTGCACGGAATAACTCGTTCACCGTACGCGTCGGCCGCCACATTTCATTCGGGTTTCAATATTTCCAGCGGCGATATCGCGAACCGACCGGACGCCCTCCCAATGTTGTACACCTGTCGTATCGTTAGCACTTCGACATTAAAATGATATAATAAATCGGCATTATCGCTTCGGTGCGCGCGATACCGCTTTTGGCCCGTCGCAGCTTAATTCATTAACCGAGTACCAGTACTGAGGTTTACCTATGATCAGTCATTCTTTCACCGATGCTTTGTTCGCTCCCATCTTCTTTCATCTTTTATGATTTGGCGTTTTCCTTATCTTATTATTATCCCTATTCGGGATCACGTCTATTTTTTTTAATTGTGAGAGAAAAGTGTTAATCTCTTTTTCACGTCAATTGTTGCGTTTTCGATAAAAGGCTTATAGTTACAGGGAATATGGCTGTACAGATCTAGCTTTATTGGCCTGTGTGATACAGGCAATCATGCAATAGTGGTCAGAGGTTGCCCCGACCCAATAAAAGTTAACTCGCCTGATGCCATTGTACCGCCCAGATACATGCTACTACCGCTTTTGATTGATCACAAAGGGAATTGTTGACCGTTAAGTCCGATATGTAATATACGTTCGGAGTGGATCGGGAATAAGTTTCCATTTAAACGGTCGATCTCAGGTGCGACTCCTATAGAATTAAGCAATTGCAGCAGGGGAATAGATTTGATTCGGTGCAGCTGACGGCGAGGCAAACTTATAAACACGCCTCTGTATTAGCAACGCGTGTGCGCCCTCCGCGGGCTGATTGAAGGTTTTACTTAATCGGGACCTGTAATACGCTCATGCATTCGCCAATGCATCAATCCAATGGAAGTCCCTGGACCGGTGCGCACTATATATTTATACCCGGTCAACAAACGCCAGTAATGGAGTTGTTACACGAGTTCACTTCCTCACGCGGAGGGTTAATTAAGTGCCCAACATTTACAAACAAATTGACGGCGTGGTATGAATTTTAATCGAGCTCAAATACGGAGCAATGAGAAGATAGTAAGAATAGTGTGCACTTTGTCGATTTCCAACGGCGTTTTCAGCTGTTAGCGACGCATCTCAATAACCTACATCATCATCCACCTCCTGCTCCTGCCCTTATCCCAACTAGGTCTGGTCGGCCCAGCATGTGAATCATGCTGTAAGCGGTTTTGGACTAGGTTTTTACGACCTGCCTGAAGTCAACCCTTGGGAGACAAACACCCAGATCCGGAACAATTATCAGTGTTTAGCACAAATACTTGTTCTGTGTAATCCAATATATTAGCGACGGCACCACTAATTTGATTATTATTAAAACATCGTACACGTCGTTTACACGAGTGGTGAGTGAGGTAGCCGGAGCCCAATTTCCAAAAGGTTGTCAACGCATCTAGAACCATTGGGTGTAGCAGATGTCCATAGGCGGCGGTATTCACTTACCATCAGGTGAACCGTCTGCTCGTTTGGCAACTTTCACATAAAACAAGTTAAACACAACATTTTGCTGAAGATCCAAATGGCGTAGTTGGTAGTTGGTGTTGATTCGATCGCCACTACTGGAAAAAAATTGTGTGATGAACATAGTCTTTTCCAGTGTCTGGGTATTTATATATGTATAATATGTATTCATTTACAAGAGAAAAGTATGTTTAAGTATGTTTGTCAGTTTCCTAGTACCCTTAGTAGAAGCGTTGCTTAGTTTGAGACTAGAGAACGTTGTGTAGAACGTGTCCTAACAAAATATGTTTATTTAAAAAATTAATTATGACATAAACAGAAAATGCTAAATCTGCTGCATGTGTATACTCCTCAGGCCTTACACACTCGTTTCACTAACAGCTTCCTTGCCGCCGCACCCAAGTGGGGAACCAAAAAATAACCATCCAGTTATGTCAATTCAATAACCAACGTATCTCATTAACTGGCGCTAATTGCGTCGTGTTGCGTCACGTTCGAGTGATTTTTACAGTGCCCTGTGACGAGGTATATTCATTTGCCAAATCCGCCTCTAGATATCTACTCCGACACCTTTATACCACTATAGAATGTAGTAATACGATTGTTGTTGCGCTATTTTCACGTGAATCGTCTCCTCCGAAGTAAGTTTTCGTACAATGAAATCGCGTTCGTTTGTTTTTCTGTTTCAGGGGTCTATAGCACGCAGCATTTTAAGAAAAGCGATTTTTTTTTATGTAAGAATTTAGCAAAAGCCCGCTAGCTTCATTTGATGTGATAACGGCCGCGCAACAGTCTTCGCTGTTGCACGAACAGGTAGGTCCATCTGGGTAAGTACCATAACCTCGCAGGAGACCGCCGTGATGTGGATGACTTAAGTGTTACTTCTGCGTTTCGACTGGTGAGTGAAGTAGCCAGGGCACAGATTATTGGCGACGTATCTATAACCCTTCGGGTGTTCCAAACGTCAATGTGCAACGGTTATTACCACATTTCACAAAAAAAAATGTGTGTATACTTCTATCACTTTGGCAGATAAACCGAACTGAAACGAGTCCTAGCTAGAAGTAAACCGATATAAAATATTTTTATTGAAAATAAAAAAAAAAAAACAAAAACAAAACGAAACGTTAAACTAAAAATGAATACAAGTTTAAGTCGCATCGGTAAGCGTCCGAGGTGTTAGAGTGTTTTGTTGATAAAATACGTGTTGTATCGAGTGCACGCAGCTTTGCGATGTTGAAGAACAATTGAACCATTCAATCGATAGGGCGCGAAACAAAAAGGGCAAAAATGTTGCAACATATTGCTCACCAATTAACGGTGCGTCCTGAACTCGCGCGCTGGGAGTGGGATGGGGTATCTATGGTAACGCACGAACATATACTAGTATTTCATTCATGTAATTTATGTTAATTATTATTAGTGTTTGAATGACGGTGTGAACGTCCGTACGTCACTTAATTCACAGGCCCACTGAAAACCAGCGCTGTAATCTCGTATTGACTGCAGCATTAAGCTGAGTGTGGTCTGTTTGCCGTATACGCCACACACAATGTGTGCGTAAAATGTGTAATGTATTTAATATTTTTTTTATTCTTCTTTTTTTTCTTTTTAGTATGTATTTTTTGTTTATGGTTTAAATGTACATGTGGCGTATTTGAGCAATAAATGTTTTCTTTCTTTCTTTCTTTCTTCTTTCTATTTGTAAGAGCCAAACGTACAATGCTCAGGCCCCTACTATTACCTAGAAAATATACTATAACAGACACTTTAATTGTTTCAATATGAATTATCGATACTTACACCATGGCATATTAAATTTGACCACAATTATGTAGCAACTAGCTGATCCGGCAAACGTTGTTTTGTGGAATTTCGTAAAATCCTTTCTTAGCTGACCTCTACTCGGCGAAAGGAATATTCCTACCAAATTTAAAGAACCGTGATGAGTCAATTATCGGTGGAAATCTCATATATATATATATATATGTATGTATGTATACTGTACACGATGTTAAACATGGCGTCGTTCCCGGCAGTGAAAAAGAATCCAAATTTTAAACAATGACGTCGCAAAAACGGCATACACTCGCTCCAACGTCGACCGGATCAAATATTGACCGGGGTTCAACACGTTAAATTTTCCCGCGAAAAACATTCGCAAACAAAATAATTACGCGGCCCGACCGAACGCGACCGAATCGCTCGCAATATAGTTCACAAATTAGACTGGCTGCGCGCGGAAAAATTTAATTGAACAACCGATTCCCATGGCCGCGGACGGTGATGTATTAACATTTATTGTTTCGCAGATTAAAGATAACCCCGGACAGCGTTCGCTGCCCGCGAATTTGTAGCGCGCGTTGCTTTTTTTTTTCTCTTAACAGCCAGTATTAAAACGCGCACTAATCGGCCGCGTGAAACTTTTATTAATGGCCGTCTGTTTTTTTTTTTAAATGAAAAACAAAATAGGCTACTGTCCGACGCCGCCGCGCCCGTCGCACGTTTCGTCGATGTGTTATTATACACGATAAATTATGCACCGTCGAGGTTTTCAATTAATCGCTCTTCGTTATCGAGGCTAAGTTGTTGTTGTCGACATGTTCAGTTCGTGTTCCACTGTCGCTTATACTTATTCTAACGAGCGAGCGATACATGGTGCAAGGGTGAAACAGTTTATTAGTAGGTTAGTTTTTTTCAATTCGTTTTTTAATTTATAATTCCACACGCACACTTCGATGTCTTTGAACACGTTTTAATTTGCTAACATATGTTTTTAGGGTATTAAGTATTAATAGTTACGGTTTCATGTAAAATTCTTTCCCTTGGGCGAACGACGCCAATCTGCGAATTTGTACGGCAATTTCAACTGCTTAGTAAACATCGACCGTACCCGAAGTAGCCACTCAATCTGGCGGTTCCTGGACACGACCTCATATATCATTTTTGCTTATACGACAATAACATCGACGTTTAAAAACAACACTACTATAAGCAGCTTGTCGTCTGAGCACACGTGGAAATGAATTACAAGTTAACTGCCTACGTAGGTTTTTAGAAACCCGTGGGTTCTGGCTAGCCCACGGGTTCTGCGTTCGATGAAGCGTAAATAGTGCGGACTATGAACGCTAATTTCAGTTAAAATATAAACATAAGTTTTTAAGGCGATGCACAATTGAATTGACGATGGCGGTACTAACTTTTTGACGACCGTTTTCGGTCAATATAAAAGAGCACCGCGCGCGTTACACCTCCGTGCCGCGTGGAGTCACGGGAGGCGACGCCGGTGGCGCGGCGCTTACAAATCGTCGCGAATGACATCTCAATCTAGGTCCGACGGGCGCGCCTGGCTGCGCACTTAGATTTATGCCCGTCGAGTGGCGTGTCCGTGTCGAAAATAGCGCGGCGCGTTTTTCACGCGCCCTGCGCGGTAATGCATCAACGTGAGAGCTCGCCTCGACACCTTCGCCGTTTGTACCGCGTGACAGCGCGTATTAGTTCCAACAGCGGCCGGGGCTGTTTTATTTACCTGCACGTCGGCGGATGCTAATGGAGCAGAGGCTACGGCGTACAATATTCCGGAATATTCTTTTTTTTCCTTAAAAAACTAAGAGCTATGCACAACGCACGCCGTATTATGGGAGTTGGAAATTAGTATCGAATTGTAGCCTGCCTATTAACATCGGCGACGCTTTTGCCGCGTTAAACTTTCTACCAGTGTCTAGACAAACGGTCTACACGTGATCGAGTTTAAATAATGCAGCGATTTGTTAAGTTAGGATTCAGAAACGGTTTGAAATCGAAAAAGGGGTTCCGTGTATCTGTGGCGGGAAATTTTAAATAATTAACGCCGGTGCCGGGCGTGTCGCGTCCGCAGCCTCGCGGTTAATTAACTTTCGCGAATTAAAATAGTATCGCACGTTCGTTTCGTCAGCTACGCGAACTTTACCGCTTGTAGTCGCCCCTCCATCGAATTTTTGCCCGACGGCCGTGCACTCGCCGCCAAATAACGGATCCGCTCATTAGTGAATCTATTAGGGATTCAACAGACCGTTACAATACTGTTCAAGCTATTGATGGAAACGTTCCAACCGACGCAACATATAATTGTTCCAATCAACGAGCATCAAGGAGTTCGCGGACGTCTAGTTGGATTCCGTTTGAATTTCGGAAATTGGCGGAGACTAAGATTGAATACAAACAGTCTAGCAGCTGGACATTGGGCGGCAATCTGGACGGCAATAAGAGCTTCGAAATTACCACCCCTCCCCCTCCCGCCTCTGGCCCCAGCGGACGCTCAGAAAACGACACAGATCAATTAAAACGGCCCCTGTGTGCAGGGCGCATGTGGATTAAAAGCTAAACTTCGTTACCGCCGTGTTATCATTTGAATCGAAAGAAACTTGTTACGTCTACGTGGACTGCGATTCCAATTTCGGAGCGGATCCGATGGCTTGATTGGTTCCAGCTAGCCGCGGATGAGTCTCTCCCGTTATGGGCAGCGCGGGACGTGTTGGCGTGCGGTTGTGACGCGCGGTTGTGACGCGCGTTTTTCCCGCCGCCTCCGGCATTCGGCCGGCGACGCCTTAGATGGCGTTGGCGGGTTATTACTTGCGATATATAATAAAGCTGTGCGATACACGCGAAACGGCGACTGACACTTGCGGAATACGTTGACTGCATTCTGCAGGCCCGGTGTGCCGGCGCGTACAGATTGCTGCAGCGAGCAGTGCACCGATGTGAAATTTACTTATCTTATGCAGGGTAAGAAAGGTAATCATCGCACGGTGAGGCACCTTACTGATAATTGGGCCATTGATCTCGCTGCTAACAATGAACATGGTAACTTATGAACTTACTTTTGGCATTCTCTCCCAGTCAATTGGGTTTATAAATAAAAAATAAACATATAGATACATATTGTATATATAAAATAAATATTATGCATAAAAATAAACATATACATATAAAAATATACTACATATAATACACATATAAATAGGACATAATCAGACGGAAGCCCTCGGCAGGGGAGACCAAACGGCCGAGGGTTAGGGTGAAAGGGAGAGAAACCGGTGGACGATGCGGGCAGTATCGAGGAGCACCGCTTTCTGAGGCTGGCTGGGATCAACCCATTCACAGATACGACTATTGGGTCGGCACACCACCCCACATGTCGGTCACCTCGTGAGCCAGGTCCAGATACTTCGTCTTCTTATCTGTTTCGGCTTTCACGAGGTTCAAGTCATATGGAATGGTAATGTGGGCAAAAATACCCGCGACTGTGCCCGGTCCATCAACACGATATCAGGTTTGTTCGCGGCAATCATCCTGTCCGTGATGATGGACCGGTCCCAATAGAGCCTGGTGCGGTCATTTTCGAGCACGGCCTCCGGAGAGTACTTATAGTATGGCAGTTTCCGTTCCACGAGGCCGTATTTCAGAGCGAGCTCCTGGTGTAGGATTCTGGCTACTAGGTTGTGTCTATGCAGATACTCAGAGTTAGAAAGCATGGAACAACCGGAGATAACATGCCGAAGCGACTCCCCGGGATGGCGACAAGCTCGACAAATGTCGACGGTGCCATCCCTTAGGACGTATTTCCGATAGTTGTTCGTCTTAATAACCTGATCCTGTATTGCACAGACAAAACCTTCGGTTTCCCCAAAGAGGTCACCGAAACGTAGCCAGTTAAGGGAGGCCAGAGTATTTACAAAAGGCTCGTGTAGAGCCTTGTAGAACCTCCCGTGGAGCTCTTTCTCCTTCCATACGGCCTCCCGGTCGAAAACGCTAAGTACTCCCAGGTCCTGCCATTGCTCGTTGGCTAAGGATAGAGGGGTTAGTCCTTTATCACAATTAATGACGTCCGTGTAGATCGACTCATCCGATCTCGCCAGAAAGTAGTTACGGAGGCTGCACACCTCGTGATTGTGCATGGTAAGGGCGCTTAAAAAGCCCCCCCGCCATGCTTCCGCGGCAGATACAGCCTCATCACTGACGATCTCGGATGGTGCATTCTGTGGTACGTCATAGTTGTACGGACTTTTCGATCCAGGGCGTTGAGCTCAGTTTGAGTCCACCTGAGTATGCCAAAGGTATAAATGAGGACTGGCATGACCCAGCCGTTAAATGCGCATGCCTTGTTCACGCCTGACAAATGGCTGTTAAACACCTTTGTCAGGCGTGCAAAAAACACGCCACGAACTGACTTATTAATAATTAATAATTATATTAATTATTAATAATGTAATTATATAATAAATATAAATCAAAACTTTTTCCCGCGACCCCAGCTTATATCTGGAAACGGTATAATAGTTCTCATCAAGGCATCTATGAATGCCTCGTTTACAATGCCCCTAATAATAGTGGGGGAGTTAGAAATAATACACCCCACCGTACGTTGACGCAGCGGTGATTGCCCCTGAGAAATTGCCGTGTTTATTATAATAGTTAATAAAATTGTCAGCTATAATGAAATGGACGTCGGCGATGCGACACGTGAAACATTAATTTGGGAAAAATATAGGTTTACTGAAGTATTCATTCTAACGGTGCACTGCACAATTTATTTCGTTAAAGCTTATTTTTCGAACGTTTTTTCGAATTTTGTAGATAAAGTACCTGGATGATCGAACTTTACTTGGTATTTTTTTAAAAAAAGTAAAAAAAATAAGTGTGTAAATGATCGTGACACAAACCGCGGCCTTCCGTTTCGGGGCCGCCCTATTACCAACAGAGCTATTATAACATATTTTTTTTCGGCGAGATTTACCGTCATATTCGGATGATATTTTTCATTCACTAAAAACAGGGATAAAATGACATTACCTAAAAATCAAACCTAGTCAGATCGATTTTTCTTCCCCGAATCTACGCACATACTAAATTTCATGAAAATCGCTGGAGCCGTTTCCGAGATTCCGATTATATATAGATATATATGTACAAGAATCGCTCGTTTAAAGGTATAGATAATATTTTTTAACCCTAAACTAAACAACGGTTGCACTAGTACCCATAGATAACTGATAAACATACTTCTCTTTTGTAAATAACATATTATACATATATAAACACCAAGACACTATAAAAACACTATGTTCATCAAACCATATTTTTTTCCAGTTAATGATACAAATAAATTTCTACTTTTCAAGTTAATAAGTGTGTGTGTGTGTGTCTTTTAACAAGAATTTCGTAGCGATAATATTACGTAATATATATGAATAGATGGACATATGTATTTAGGACATCGAGGCACTTACAATTTAAGAATTTAACAATGTAATTACGAAATACATCAGTCATCTTCTGTACAATACGGAATACTGTATAATACGGAAAATAATTAAAAATCATATCAAAAGATAATTAAAAAGCAAAAGTAATTATTTCCACGGCTGTATTGTTCCTTCTTAATAACTCTCCATGCAAATAATTTTATTGTATAATATTTTATGTATAATAATATTATAAGCTACGGACTGTAACTTTCAAATTATTAATAAACTTTTATTTTAGAAATTTTAATTGTTTATAGTGCTAATCTTTGCACTAAAGATTGAACATTAAAATATGTAGAGAAAGTGCGAAAAGATTGTCTTGATTGCCAAGCATTGTTTCAAGTGCTAAGAAAACAATGTAGAAGAATGCGTTAAGATTTTCGTCGGTGTGGTAATCAGCCGTTTAGCTCAGTGGCTAGAGCGTCAGGCCGCGAATGCCGAAGACGTGGGTTCGATTCCCACAGCGGCGACAATCTTTTCGCACTTTCTCTACATATTTTAATGTTCAATCTTTAGTGCAAAGATTAGCACTATAAACAATTTAAATTTCTAAAAAAGCAATGGCGACATCTCTCGTTCGAATTATCGTTGTAAAACGATATTCGAAGTTGTTTGTACGCTGGAAAGGATATAACAATAGATGGCGCCAAGCATTGCTTCAAATGCTAAGAAAACAATGTAGAAGAATGCGTTAAGATTTTCGTCGGTGTGGTAATCAGCCGTTTAGCTCAGTGGCTAGAGCGTCAGGCCGCGAATGCCGAAGACGTGGGTTCGATTCCCACAGCGGCGACAATCTTTTCGCACTTTCTCTACATATTTTAAAACTTTTATTTTACTCTTTAAATGACAAAATTAAAAAAGCATTAAGTTCGTTAAGTTTTTTGTGTTAAATGAAATATACTCTCTAACGCCATACATTTTTGTGTCTAACGCCATAGATTGTCCTCAAACTAAGCACCTACAGCAAAAATCTTTTTAGTCAAAATCTATAAATCTCGACTAAATCTACCGAGGAATACACTACCAGTATAGAGGTCCGATTACCGACAGAGAACATTATAATCGAACGCATGCTCTGCGTCTTCCGATCAAGCTACTAAGGGAGTAATGCATTAAAAAGACATTCTCAACCACGGAACACGGTAGGGGAGCGTGCGTCACCCCCTTTAATATTAATCCAGGGCTGGGTTACGCAAATAACATTACAAGCAAGTGTTGTTGTATAAGTCTGGAAGGCCAACGCTTATTACATAAAATATTGGGCCGCACTTAGCGCCGACCAAGGCCGTCCAACTAACATAAAACTGCTGCATATTTTATTGAACGCGCCCTGTCTTATGGTTTATTCAGAATTACATTTCCTAGTCTCGGTTAGCGATATGAAGCTATATTTAATGCATGGCGGACGTCGTCGCCCTTTAAAAAATATCCTTTATTTAGCGTGCGTAGTTCAAAGCGGGGCCCCCTTAACGGAGGACGAAATCCGATAAAGTCTCCTGGTCCCCCGCTTGTTTACTGTGTAAGACGTAACCCAATAAGCGGATCTACTTGCCATGTTCTGCGAATACGGGAACAAACAATGTTTTAGTGTAACAAAATGTTCGCTCCGTAATGAAGTTCACGTTTATTCCTGCGCTCCAAAGAAACTTTGTAATTTCAATTATACCAGTACCGAACGTCGGGACCGGCCTCTCTTAATTATACACTTAAGACATAAAGGCGACGTGATAAAATTCGCGAGTTCGCAGAAAAAGTTGGCCCGAGGGCCGCTCTTCGGTGCGTAGTGTCAAGTTCGAGATGACCAAGGCGCCTTTGGCTGGAGGGAGGACATAGGGGAGTATTATCTTTAGAGGGAAGCAGGGACCGTTACTCGTCGAGTCTACATTTTGCATGAAGCTTGGTGCGAGGCGTGCAGTGCGAGCGAGAGGGCGCGCGAGAGGGACCGCCTATGAATCTACATTTTAAGCGCATTGTAAGCAAAGGCATTATTAATGGATCAGCTTTAGTTGTTGGGGAGCTAGGCGCGACGGCTGCCAAGAGTGTGCTAGCGTTGTTCATGCATCATGCATGTGCCATTCATATTTGATTCCTTTTAATTTCAGACGTCTTTCGTCTGCGGAGCTGGTTCGTACTGGGCTTTCGTTTATCGCGCGATGGGGCGATGCACGGCCCACACGGTTCGTAGCCGGGCGAGGGAGACTTGACAGGTTCGATAACCTTCCCGTGTCATGTGCCTATACCTCACATGAATCTCAAGTATCCAGTGGAAGCTTGAAAACGTTTTTAGATTATATTGAACAATCAATTACATGCATTAACTATTGAATGAAATTCCTTCAGCTTTGAGAGGTGCATTTGTTTCGATTCCATTCACTTTCTGAGGAATCAAATGAAATAAGCCTTCGATATTTGAAACTGGGGATTGTTATTCCTGCGGCATTGCTTAAAGTTTCCATTGGGTGCAATACGAGCGTTTTAATGGGATGCTGAAATTCAATTTACGTTTACGAAAAAGAAAAGCGAACGGATCCCCAGACATAGACTCGACGCCTGGA